TTCCGGGAGTTAAATTGGATTTCGGTTGAACGAAAAGCGAGAATTTGATTGTCGAGGTATATTTCATTTCTTCGTTATTCGTATGTCGACGAATTGTGTAACGTTTCGAGGGAATGCCAAGGGGAAACTAACAAAGATGGAATGAATTTCAATGCGAAACGCTTCAGCGCTTGTTTGTAAGTCCGTTGGTGATATATACGATCTAAGGGTCTACACGACGAAGAAGAAATTACCGGAGAATATCATACACGCGAGAAACCTGCTCGCCGTAAGCTTATTAGACGGTGCAGAAAGAAAAGGCATAATCCGATAGATGTACACACACACACACACACACACACACACACACACACACACATACAGATTATTCGCGTAACGAGAACCTGCTATTACTATCGTATACTTTCAGAAAGAAAGAGCGAGGTATCTTTCTACAAAGCTGTTAAAATTTTGAAACGACGGCAACTCTTTGGTACCTCGCCAACTTTAATTCCAGAAATACGATCGGTAACAGGCAGCGACGTATAATTCCTAAAACGTTTCCACGTTAATTCCTTGAATTCCTACCTGCGTGCTCCACGCTACACCGAAACTGTCGGATGGTCGAAGACAGCAATACACCGGATCCAAGCTGCATCCCGTGGCAGATCAGTTGCACCAAAATCGCGACTAATACGATCACGCGCCCCCAGCCACCCTCGGGGTAATAATGTCTCTTGATAGTGATCTTCTTGCGAGCGTTCGCCGCGGTGAGAGACTCGTCACCTTCCTCCGGCTCCTCCAGCAGATCCTCGTAATCGGGAATACTACCCAGTCCACCTTCGAGAATCAGTTGCTCGGAGAATCGTCTCCTCATCATTTTCGGCGTGATGCTCACGCTGCTCCTTCGACGTTCGTTCGACGCTGCGTCCCTGAGGCCCTCGTCCTTCTTCCTCTTTTTCTGCCCTGATCTCTCGGTGTTTCCCTCGGGCGACGTTTCTTTCAACGGATCGGTCTCGCGACTCTCGTTGCGCAACCGCGACCAAGGCTCGCTAATTCCGGCGGTCTTCTCCAAGAAAGAGCGCGGACAGGTTCTAGCGCGGTCGATCGAGCATCTAGCGAGCGTTTGTTCAGAGAATCGGCGATTATCCACGCGGCCGATCTTGCAGCCGCGTGACGACTGCGTTTGATCCGAGTGCCGACGTTGGATCACCTCGCCGACGAGTCGAGTCTCCGAGCTCGCCTCCTCCTTGATCTCGTGGCAGAGACTGGCGACGGAATTCCTGCCGGAAGAAGGCGGAAGGATGCTCTGGCAAGTGGACACCGAATAACTGGAGTCCTTTCTTTTGTTACCGGCCAGGAACGTGTGATCTCGGCTGGAACAGCTGGACAACTTGCGACGATGGTACTGACACTGGCTGCACCAACACTGGCAACGACACTGACACTGACAGTTGGACGAAATGGACAGTTTCGCCGCGATAAAGCAACGACATCTGGCCAATCTGCCCCATAATTCCGGATGCGACGTAAAGATCTCTGACATCTCGATGCTCTCGTTCCAGGACCTACTGGTGTCCGTCGACGGTGTTCTAGTTAGCTCTCGTTTTAACACGGAACTTTCTATGGACCAACACTCTGACTCTAGGCTGAAATTGTCGGGTAATTTTGGCCTCCTTTGAGCGACCAACTGCTGAGATTTTACCGGAGTTTCCGCGCGACGACTGCTTTCAGAAGATTCGCCGGCAGTCGGATTCTCGTTGGTCATCGCGGCGCTGTAAGAATCGCGGCGCCTGCGATACGTATCGCTGTTCGAAGAACTGTTCGACGAACTGACCCCTGCGTCCATGTCGAGAGCGGGTTTTTCGCGATGGAAATTAGGTGATCGATAAATCGTGCGCTATACCGTATGCTGTACTACCCTTCGGGGCGGAATTCGTGTTTCGATTTTTACATTCGCCGAAGATCTAATCTTGGGACGAGATGGTGAGAAAAATTAATATCTCTCCAAGTCTGACTGACAAATGTTTCGTTTACTTGGATTATGTTTAGCGTTTCCTTGTCTTTTCTTCTTCTCGTTGACAGACGAGATTTCAAAATTTACACAAATAGAAAACTTGGTCATTCGTTGCGAAGAAAGAACTTGCGTTTAGGTCGTCATGACTTCGATCGACTCTTTCACGGTTCTTCTTCTCCGAGCTTCACGTTTCACGTTTCGCGATCGTCTCGCCGACACGGACCATTTCGAACTGGCCCACGTGCTCGCACGAAAGGTTACGTTTCACCTGTCGAGAGCGAACAAATTAATGCTCGTCCCTCGAAAGGAGGTTCATCGGTCCTTCGCGAGTGCATCGCGATGCCTCGCACGCGTGAAACAAGTACGTGAGACTCTGGCGACGCGTCCAGACTGTCGATACCAACGTCCTAATTTTTCCTCTCCTCTGACTCCGCAGTCAGTTGCTATACGTTCTCGCGTCGGATAAATTAAACAGCCCCCGCCATCGCGGTTACACGCGATCGTTTACAACGATCGAAACACACAGCTACACCACGCTCGGTCTCGCTTTCAGAAAATACTGTAAGAATTTGTTTTCCGTTTTTCTTCCTTATTTTTGTTCCCTTTTTTCTCCTCCTGCCGATTTTATTGCTGTATATCGGCCAATATTCGCGCAATCGGACACGTAATCTCACCGTCTGAAATACCGTATGTCGTTAACGAAGTGAAACGTTTCATTTGCATGCGCGGCAGAATCGAGAAACCTAAAAAACGAAGCTACAATATATGTGTATATATATATATATATATATTTCTTTTTTTTTCGCAATACGAGAATCGCCTTGAGTAAGCTGATACGGCTCGGTGTCTCGTATCTTCGTTTCGGAGCAGAGTGTCGAGAGATAAGTTGATTACACGGTCGAATTATTGGCCACTGGCGGCAATTCATTGCGCGAATCTCCGATAGTGGGGACCAACTATGGAACAACCTGCTGCTGAGCCAGCGAGTTGGTATTTAAATGGATCTGGAGGGAAAAGAGCGTGCGAGAACAAACGATCGTTCGTAATAGTTGATTCATGATTATTGAAACGGGGTTTCTGGGACGGTTGATTGGACGGACGTAAGAGATACTTTATACCATCGTTATTCCTCTCTTAATTCGAGTTTAATAAAAGGTACAATACGGTTTTTAAAGTCTCCGTTTCGTTTCGTCCGGACGTACGGAAATTCGTACACGACTCTCAAGTAAAAGATCGCAATCTTTATGAGTTTCAACTCGAAGTTCGTTTCGATCCTTGAATTTTAACTTTAAACTTTGCTCGACGATACTTGGGCGTGATTTTAATTCAACGTGACTCAACGTATCTGAAATTGCCCACGCGAGGAACAACGTAACCCATTCGAACACCGGTTCGACACTGAGCACCTGTCGGCATTTCTTATCGCGAACGCCTCAAAGGATAATTTCTCATTAATCTCTTTCTCTCTCTCTCTCTCTCTCTCTCTCTCTCTCTCTCTCTTTCTCAAAAGAGAGAGCGTATAACGATCAGCGGCGATCATTGGCGCCGACTCGGATCGTGACAAAAAAAAAAAAAAAAATAGAAGAAAAAGAAGACACGATCGCGTAAAAACCATTTGATTTATGAACGTATCTCGTCGCTCGATCGTATCTTGGAACAAGGTTTTCACTTAGCACAATCAATCGATTACCCGGCTCCCGTATTCACGCGGTTGATTTCAACAGTCCTCGATTCCAACTTCCGTTCAAGATAAACGACTCGGTCAAGCAACGTTCGATTAATTAACCTGACACGATTCTCCAAAAGAAACGGTAGAAACAACGTAAAAAGCGTGACAGAAACGAAATCCAAAATATTGTAAGATGATTGACTGCGAGCAACAGATCGACTACAAACACTTTGACTACGAAAGACGAATATATACGCCCTCGCATGCCTATCAATATATACAAAAGAGACATACACACTCTAAATTTTTCTTATCAAATTATATCAAACATTCTTCCACTCTGAATCATGGTCTAGTTTATATTTCCGTTGGACATTCCTTTGAATGTTTAATGTTTACTAGAGTGAGAAATGTGTCGACAAATTCATGATTGTAGATAATTATTTGATAGATCTTGATAGGAAGCAATGGATTTGGTGGGTGAAAAATAATAAACTACTGATCTGAAAATATATAGAGACAACTACTTGTTATAAAAGTATCAGGCCAGTCAGAAAAGCAACAGAAAGTTGAACGTTTCTAACATAATATTTGACAATGCGAGGCGTGTACGGTCGAACAAATTCGAGCCGAATTAATGGCCGAAGAGCTATATGGACCAACACGCGAACAACTTTTGTTATTTATTGTTAGTGACTTAAATAATAGTACAAGGGCCTTAACACATTGTTGATCGTCAATTTTACGCAGAAGCTATCTCACGTTACCGGTTATTATTTCGTCATTGAATATGAATGTGAAAGAATTTAAACAAACTTTCATAACTGTCTTCCGATAAACTATAAATTTCCACATCACTGCACAATATATTTCAAAATCACTCGGACAATCAGATAAACCGTCTTGCATATTAATTCATTGAAAAGTTTTTCACCGTCACGATTCGTCATGATTGAAGTTTTTGCAACACTGACAATTGCGATAAAAGCCTACATAAATATCAGTAAAAGTAATATATTTTTTTTTTTTAACACGACGAAAAGAAATATTTCACAATGTCCTGCATTGTCCCGAGTGTCGAAAATTAAAATACCTAATGCAAGTGCAAGAAACACGAATTAACTCGTGATCGGTCAACAGCATGTTAATACTGTTCAGTCTGTTACTCAATTTTGCGACAGCCAGTAGCACGCGAATCATCGTAATGCCGCATATGTCGATGGTACCGTTTCGAGGATTCACCGAGAAGATTAAATTCAGCAGACACGGTTCACGAACACAGATGTGAACCGTGAATGATCGATCGAAAATTCAACTGGCTCGCCACGTGGTTTTCTACCTAGCGTGGCCGAGAAAAAGAGATATCCTACCTGCGCTGTGAAGGGCGGGCTGATGGAACTTCAGCTGAGCGGTTAGGTGCCAACTGCCAGGCGCCGCGAGCTGCAAACCGATGCTGAGGAAATGAACGAGCGCCGAACAGGTCACGATCACGTAGCCCCAGCCTCCCTCCGGGTAGTAGTGCCTCCTCAGGGTGGCCTCTTTTCTCACGTCGTTGCACGGCCTGCTGCACGCCGGGTTCCCGTTCCTCTTACGCGCGTTCCTCTCCTTCTCTTTGTTCTTGGCGCCTCCAATTAGACCGCTCGTCCTTAGCCTACGCCAGCTGTTCCTCGTTTTCACCTCCGCCGGGGAATATTTACGGGCCGTTTCCGGCTCTTCGTCCTGACACCGGCCGGCCATGCTCTTCCTGCTCGAGACCGGCGAACGAAACGGATCCACGCGTTCCAGAAGCTGGCCCTCCGACGTGCATTTCGGGCAAGCGTGCTGCGTCCGCCTCGTTATGTCGTCGTAGTCCACTATTTCGATTTGAGGGGTCGGCGTCTTTCTCCGTATGGACTCTCGGCGGGATTGGTACGTTTCCTTCCCGACTGATCGACCGTGTTCCGGCGTCTCGATTTTCACGATGGTTTCCAGAGGCAGAGGATCCTCGTGTTTGAATTCCGCGTTCGTCCTGGACGATTCATCCTGAGTGTTATCGTTTTGTCCGGCGGAGGATTCCAATTCGAAGTTTGACTTATTGGTATCACCGTTTCTACGGCGATGCGGCATCGAGTCACGTTCCTCGTCAGCCAGACAGAAGTTGGATTTCGTCGTTTCGGATATATCTCCGCCGTCTCGGTGAGGGTCCACGGCAGTTTCGTCGGATAAGAGATCCGAGAGCAATTTCGACTCGCTTTTACGACCCTTCTCGTCCCTTTCCCCATCCTCGGCGACAGTTCTTCCGCAACTTCTATTCATAACGTCAGGTACCAGGGCGCGTAGTTCGAAAGTTTCCCCTAATTCACCGCGTCCGTACGGCTCGATGCGCCTGGTGTCGCCCACGAATCGTCGTTTCGTCTGGACGGACGTCGAACCGCCATGATCCAGGAATATGATCTCGTCGATCCAGTCGGTGTCGAGTAACGAGGTGGGGTGCAAGCTCTCGACGCGAATCGTCGGGATGATCGTGAAGGCGCGCGACAACGGATCCACGCGCACTTTCACCGTCTGTGGCGCCCGATCCGGCCACGAGCTGCTGTGTCTCATGTTCTTCCGGTCCTCCTCGCGCACTGTCATCTCCCGAACGGTCCCACATCGAATCGTCTACGAATCGAGCGTCAACGGAATCCGATCGATCGACGACACGACCAACGTCTTTGCTCCACGATAATCGAGCTTAACCGTGCAGATCCCAGCTTCATCTTGATCGATCATTGACCCAATCCGCGAGAAAATGTCCAAAGGGATTTCCTCGTCGCGTACAGATTCCCTCCGGAGGCCGCTATTGTCTGAGCACTGACGATTCTCGCGAAACGACTGCATTTTTCAACGTGGTACAACGCGCGATTTCACAGAACTTTCCATCGGAGGATCGTCGAGAGTCGAAACACGCGCGTACACGCGATTCTTTGTCATTCGGGAAACAAAGAGCACGCGAGAACGGTGATCGTGCTTCGTAGAGATCAGAGGTTCGAGCGTCAATGTTAAAAAAAAGATTGTTTGAAAAGGAAGAAGCAGTCCTGGCGAGTGCGCCAGGATGACTGTTACGCACGTGCTGCTCACTTGCGAGCAACCCTCTCCTCTCTCTCCCTCTCCTTGGCCGACTGTCTCCCTCTTCCCAATGGCGAGCGCATGCTTGCGATATTCGACGAATCGCGAGGCCACCGTCTCACCGACGTGGTTCTTTTCCACGACGTGCAGTTAGCCACGAATTTCGAACGGTCGCGTGCTAACTAGAAGCGACAGAAACACTTTTTCTCCGCATCTTCACCCTTTCTTCCCTCGTCGCCGCGAACGACAATGACAATTTTCTTTTGTTTTTTTTTTTTTTTTTTTTTTTGATCGAGTCACAAAACCCAATGAAATTGACGATCTTGAAATTTGCCTCCTCTTGCGAAGCGTCGATGATCGTTGTCTGACATCTTTGCATCGCTTCTGATATACTTCCGGCTTTCACGAACTCCGTCGAAGCGCGTTTGAATCAAGGTACGTGGATTCACGATCTACGAGAGGTATCTGGTTATTAAGAACGATTGATTTGATACGGCTAAGCAAGTTAACGGCTGGAAAATTAAACGAACGACTGGGAAATCGGTAATAATCGATTTGCATGTAAGAAGCGTGGCTCTTTGATTCGTTCAAATGAAGGTACGTAATAAGGGATAATTGGTCGAGGTTATTTCGAATTAATATCGACATTATCGTTAAAATGATTCCCGGCAAAAAATTTTAAGGTATTCGAAAACATTGAAATCCTTCCTGCCTACAAATTGAACCGGACTAACTTTATTTTCTTCATGCATTGCAAGCAAATGCAGTTGTACTCGAAGTACTATTCCATACGTTTGATGGAAAACTTTTTCCCAGTTTTTGCCAGTACTTCTGTTTTCTTTCGGGCGAAAATTTCTTTATGATCTTTGACACTTTATGGACGGAAATGGGAAGAAAATGTTACACTAGATAGATCTGTAAAATATAGGCAACTTTTTGCCAGGAGTAGCAGCATCCTTGAATATTTTTGCTCGAAAATTTCGATACTTTATAAGTGCAAATAAGAAAAAACTGTCACACTAGATACATCTATAAAACGCAGATAACTGATGGAAAGATGCTATATGAAAATTTCAATTATCGGAATGTTGTAACATGGGGCCGGTTCAGTGCGATAAGAAAATGAAATCTATAGATCTTTCATTTGAAACATACAGTCAGAAATAATTGGAGCAGGTGAAAATGTTTCTTTAAATGTTCGAACATTTTCTGGAATATCGAAATGTTATAAATCCGAAAACGCGGAGGAATGAAATCCGCGGCGCAGAGACGCGTAAGAAATCGCCGAGAGCGCGTATTCGAGCGTCGATCGAAGCAGAAGAGAAAAAGAAAAAAGGGAGAAAGAAACCGGACGACAAATCACCGGAAATCAATCGGCGGCGAAGATGAACGAAGGTTGGCGCGAGCTAAGGTTTCGATGTACTGACCTACCGTGAGAAAGCGCGGCTTATTGGACGTGCCTACGAAGAGCGCGTCAATTGGAGGGTGAGGGCGCGAGGCAAGAGGACAATGAGTTACGAGAGGGAAGGGCGTTCGTCGGTAAATGAAGCGAAAGAGGGCGAAAGCGTTGGCGAAGACACAGAGGTTTGCCCTGGAAGCATCGAGCGACCTGGATTTTTAGGCAAGTGCAGCAGTGAAGTCGTAAAAATGCGCTCGCTCGGCGGAAGATTGGCGGCGATGACGTTATCATCGACGTTTGTCGATGATTCCCAACGCTTGATACGGTCTCCGACGACCTCGTCTAATTGGAATTCTCAAGGAACCTGTTGGGGAGGATAATCAGATTCGCGAGATGTTTTTACGAATACGAAGATTCTTAATCGCGTGCAGTTGCCAGTCTTAACGTCCTGTGTTAAGGCATTTATTTAACTACGTGATTTCAGAGATTTCCTCAAACATGTGATATGATAGTGACGCGATAATAACTAATTTTCAAAAACTCTAACGTATCTTGTTAACTGGCCAACTCTGCGCTCAAATTTCAAGCACCGTGGAGACACGAACGTAATGAAGGCACGATTGTGTGAGCAGTCGTGTAAAAGTAATTGGAGCGATGCAACATGTAATTCCGTTGCTATTTAGCGCAAGAGATTGCGATTAACCGGTTGACTCTGCGTTCAAATTTTAAATACCGTGGAGAGACAAAGTTGGCAAAGGCACAGTGTTAGTAATAATCTCTGAGAGTAGCCAGAGTGATGCAACGTGTAATACAGCTCCTATTTAGCGCAAGAGAGATTGTGATTAAGCGTGACGCTTCAATAAATCGCGTGACTCGTTCTCGCCCAACGCATCTTTTCCTTTAACGAAGTACGTATTTCATATTCCAACACGTCCTATATTCTCTCTAAACCTGTTAAAGCGTAATTACATGTAATAAGGCTTGCATTGTAACGTTCTGAACTGGTAGATCAGCTTGCTTCCTGTAACTACAACATAACACGGGAGACCATATCTTTTACCTCGTCTCATCCACTTTTGATCACAAGAGAGGGAACTGGAATAGAAAATTGCAATTATCACGAAAGCAGAGCTCGATTCTCATATATATATATATATTTTTTTTTTTTCTTTCCCCCCATTTTCAGTAATAACCGCTTGCTAGTCGTACATTTATCGATCGTATCGTTGATTTCTTAAATGCTAGTAAACTTCCAGCATCTGTTTTAAACTGTGAGGGGGAAATAGGCGAAAGACGCGCGATTATACTCTCATTTTCTTCGACCGTTCTAATTAACGTACGCAAGATCGTATCACCGTTTCGTGATCTCTATCTTGTACGAATCAAGGTAAATTACAGCGATGCTTAATAACATTATTCATCGTATTCCGCTTATTCAAGATTTACATTTTTCTCCCACTGGAAAACTCGAGTCTTTGTACCTAGACGTTTCATCGTTCAGTCCATCCCCGGAGGTTAACGAGAGGACGTTGCTGAAAAGAAAAAGAAAAATTCTCGCCGCGTTTAAATTAGAGATTTAACGAAGTTACGAGCGTTCGAACGGTTGAGGAGGACATTACTAGGCTTGATGCATACGAATTCCACGTGTGAAGCCGAAGGGATCGAAGAAACGCGCGCGTCTGTCGCCGGTGTCGTTCGTCGTAAATTCGTGCGCGCTATGCCCGCGTAAATGCCCGCCTAAATCGTAACTAACTCGCGGCGAAGCACGAGATTCCGGCCTCAAGGAAGGTGGAGAAGAAAAAGGAGGGGATCTTGCCTTCCTGCTTTACACACGCCGAATGATTTACACGCGTATTAATTTAAGACGATCCGCCTCGGCGACGAAACCCGCGTATCTCAAAGGAATTCCTATTAAAATTGAAAATGATTCATTCGGCTAGCATGGCGGGCTCGTTCGTTCTGGTTTAAATGGTTTCGTTTGAGGCGGGCCCGCGACTCGGCGCCAGATTTCGCTAGACCGAAATTCCCTGTAGAAGTCGGCAGTGCCTTTAACACTGTGCCACGCACGTCGAGAATTTTTCCTTTCCAACATTTTCTCAGTTTCAAGTATATTTAAATGCAACCCAGGCAGAACAAATGATTAGTTTATTACTTCTTGATAATTTCTATCCAGCGATATCAAAGGAAAAAAGAAAGCGACGAGTTATTGTATTACGGTTCGGTCACTCGTTATGGTCCGCGAACCAGTTGCCAGCGAAAGGGGTTAAAAAAGAGATTGGTTATCGTCTGTGTCGCGTGAAATATTTTCCGTTGTAATCAATGAATCTGAATGTTCCATAGGATCCTAGCCGAGGAAAATTATAAACGTACGACAATGTCCGTAATTTGCTAAATTAAAAACACGTCTCAGGAATCTATTCTTGCTTTCTCTGATCCGCGTTTTCTTTCTCGTTTAGTCTTCGCGAATTTCGTTTCCTCCTTTTTCTTTTTAATAAAGGGATAAAATATGTCCCTGTCAACCGTTGGACTTGTATCGTTCGTCACGTATGTACGTGACAAAGTTCCCTTCAAGTTCTCTCTAAAAAACGAAAACAACTACGAATCTGAAGTGATCTTAAGAACGCTCGTTCAGATCTGGCTCGTTTGATGTTTGTCGAAGCAGTCGACTTGGTGTTGGCCCCGCGCTTATCTGGAGCCGGGCAGAAATTAAGAACGGGATTTAAGAGAGCGTGCGCGCGAACGGTGTGTAGCGGTCGACACTCATGGTTGCGAGCGCTTCGATACGTTATCCGGCCGATCCGTTCCACTTGCTGCAACTTATTATTATCCGGAACTGGGTCGATCTTGATGCGTGCCGTTCACCTAGACTCGCTTACTTCGTTAACCCCTTTCAGACTCGCATCGGCTGCTCTGGTCGCCGATCCGACAGCCGTGAAACCGACGCGATGGAGCTACCGAGCTTGTGAATTGCTGCCACAAGTTACGTTTCGACACGGCGGAATGGTTTGCTTCGGGTCTGTTAATGCCTCTGGTATCTGGACGCGCGCTATCGTTTTGGCTTACTCGTCGTGGAATGTTCACGGTGAAAACAGGGCTGATATTGCCACGTTCGGGGTTAGAATATCGCGGCTGCTAAGTAGCTTTAAACGCTAGAACTACCAATGTAGTCAAAATGACTGATTTATAATTTTCTATGGAAATTTTATATATTTACAACTATATGTGTATTTTTAGATACTGAGTGATTTTGTGTTACGAAAATGTATCAATAGAAGCTTGTATTTTTTATTGTATCACTAACACTCTACCTTGCACTTTAGTTACTTTGCTGCAGATGTTATGCTTTTTCGTCGTTAAAACGTGGCAAACGAAAATTGGACAACTCAACAAAATTAATGCATTTATTTTTTTTTTTCATAATTAGACGAATAGGTAAATGAAGCAACTTCGCCGTAATTTTATAAAATAATCAACAGTCCCGATCGTCTCCTCGTGAGGAGATTCGTATCGTTGAAAGTTTACGACCTATCGAGGCATTAAACAAGTTCGAATTGAAGCGTTGACGCGGAATAGACGCGAGGGATTTATCTACATCTTCGTCATTAGTTAGTGGCCGCTGTCACGCTAGGAACGAAAGTAAATAACACTTATCGTCGTACTTACGACCCGTGTTGAAGTCGTTGCTGTGAGAAGATCTGCTGGAAACATCGCGAAGGTTTCTCATGTACTGTGCGTACTCTGCGTGTGCTTTCAATTTTGTGGAAAGCAATTTTCCGCTCGGAAATGACGATCGATTTTAAATATACGACAGATGGCCGAAGAAATGTCCGAAAGATGCAAACGAACATACAAGTTACTTTCTCTCGAACTTGTGCTATTTCCAATTCACTCTTACAGTTTCACCCTTAAAAAACAAGGCACGGACAAAAAATAAAAAAATACGGGTCAAATATCTTTTTGAAAATTACATTTATGCGAAATTTCATCAAAATCGGAGATTCACACAGCATCTTCGCTGAAAGTCCTCGCGTAACCTCGTACGATGAAAGAGAACGAGAGAGAGAACGAGAGAGATCGCCGTCGGAAGTCACTTATCTCTCCTTCAAATAACATTTCGCGTTATCTACGCGTTAGTCTAACAAGTCGGGACACGCTTTGCTCAGCTATTAAACTTCGTTATGACGTTGGCCGGTGCTTCCATGTCGCTTTACGCTTGTCGTAAAATTTATCTAGGGCTGTAGCCGGCGTAGATTTCGAATAGCGTGCGATCTGGCTCTTGTTTACCGCCGTAAACACTGGACCGAACGTCGTGAAAAGCATCTCGTTCCTCTATCCACCGAATTTCTCGTCTTTCCCGATTGCACGTCGAAGAAACTTGAACTAGAAACACGTTGTTCTATGGACGGAGGAGTCGTAAAAAGCAAATGATTATCCGGGAGATTCGTTGGACGTGTGTTCATAATATTGTCTTTGTAGGAACGTTTCACGATCGAACGCGTATAGTTAAAAGACGAAATTGGTCAAATGTAATTTGTTTTCTCTGTGACGGGATCAGACACGGCCTGATAAAGTCAATAAACAACGATCGGACGTAGAAGACTATGGTTGAAAAGGGATGTACAGTGAAGAGCATAATTGTACCAATAACAATGAAAAATTGTGAATAATTTGAACTGATGTAACTTTGTAAAAAGAGATCATATGGTAATCCAACGAGTGAAACTTCTATTTCGATGGTTGTGTTTGAAGGTGATTTTACGTACATTTTAATCGAAAATTGTAAAGATTCAAACATATGTAAAAATTAGGAATCTCTTTTGCCTTTGAAGATTGAAGTTTCTCCTTCACAATCATTTCCTAACACTTGCTCTACAATTTTTTCTTTACTGTTTTATCGAATGTTAAATATTAGGGTTAAATATTAAAGGCAAAAATTCGAATAATCGTAACATTTTGTCACATTTCAGATTCAATGATGAAAATGATGAAAAAAGAATCGTATAGCGAGTTTAATGTAAAGAAAAAATTTCAATCCTCGAGACCATGATGGATTTAGTCGTAAGAAAAATCGATATTTTTACACATGTTTGATATTTTCTAGAAAAACAGTCCTCAGTTTTTCTCATCAAAGTGCAATTTTGCGGGTGTTTTATCGATATTTGCAATACCGATCCGATCTTTGGATCCGGTCAGTGAAAGAAATTGGTCAAATAGGACTCGTTCTTCGCAAGAAAATGGCGCAAAAAAGGTGGTTAACAACGTCGATTCACATCTGGAAGACTGGAACGCGGATAGACATAATTCCGGATATTCTTCGTGGAAACGAAGGGGAGAGTAGACTCGCTCGTTTTGGTAGCAAAAACGTTATAATTAGAGCGCGTTGCGTTTAAATGAGATGACGCGATGTGCCGTATGGAGAGAAAATTTCCCAAGAGTGCGTTTCATTATCATACCGGCGAAGTATTCGTCGAAAGAGCGAAGCAAGCTGTTTTTTTTCCTTTTCTTTTTTTTTCTCTATTTTAATTGCAGTGATTATATCCTCGAAAGCGGCACGAATCGTCGCTCGCGACATGTTCAAAGTGAATTTCAACAGACGTTGATATCTTTCAGGAACATGTTACAAGTCGCAGGTTAGAAGACCGCATTGTCTTCTTATCTTATTTCCCATGGGTAAAGCGGAGGTGAAGTAGCTCGTTCGTGCCTCTGATTTCGCGTAATCTTACCTTTTAATTATACAAATTTCATTTCGCGAAACGGTATTCGTTTACGTATGTAAGCGCGTACACCTAACGCTGCCTCGAACGCATTTCAAGGAAAATATTCGAGGGTCTCGCGAGAAAAAAAATTCCCTCCAATTTCCTGAGTTTAACACAGTTGAGAATAGAACCTCAGAAATCGGCCTTGCGAAATGTGTCAACATGCGGGACACAATGACACGATACATCATCGGAAATTGCAACTTACCATATATTCTTCGTGAAGCGAGGGTGTAAAGAATCAACGCAACACATCGCGAATGAGTTAATTCTATTTTATTATGTACATAAATTTCTCTGCTACGCGAACGCCTTGAGGTCGTTGAAAAACACCCTCATCCTCCGCTCAAGCTCGTCCGCGTATCTCGTCGCGGACTCGTCGACTCTAACGTCCTCCATCATAACTTCACAGTCCAAGTGTCTATCGTCGCAGGCTCTGTGATGATGCTTCAGCACGTCGTCCGGATCGAAATGATGGGCCCGTCTGGTGGACGGGTTGAGCGTGGTCAACGCGTAGTGATTGTGCACGGTTAACGCGCGCCTGGTCGAGACGAAGCTCTTGACGGAGTCGCCCTCCGGCGAGATACAGGCGGTTCTGATCGTGTCCAGGTAATCGAGACCGGTGAGGAGTGTATCGTCGGTCGTACTGGAGTCGTTCCACTGGAAACTAGGACGATCGGTTTGATTTCTGGTCTGCTGCAGCTCCGGGAAGAAGTACACGTTCCTGACCGCGTACGAGGCGAAGTCCTTGAAGCTCCTTCCGAGTTTGATCCTCTCGTCGAGCAACAGCTCGTGCCAGTTGTTCCTCCGGACAGGGACAATCGCCTCGTCGACGTCGATCGGCAGCACGAACTCCGACCGATGAAGATTATCGTAGAAGCAGTGATTGTACGGTATCAGCTCCATGCGTCTCTTGGTCCAGATGTCCTCGGCGAGGAGCCGCCTCCTGGCGGTCTTCTCGTTGGGCAGATCGCCCGGCAGCGTCAGATTGAACCATCTGATCACGTGCGAGCTCTCGTACAGCCTCAGCACTCGCAGCACGTTCTCGTGCACGTTGAACACGTAGAAGTAGAAGTGCTCGGCGCCGAGTATGCGATGAAGCTCGACGAACGCGACGATCTTTGCGGAGATGTCCTCATCGAAGTCCAGTCCCTTGATACAGAGGGTGAACTGACGGCGTCGTCCCTCCGTCCTGTTTCTCTCCTCCCTGTTTTTTATCGCTAAACTATGACTAGCATCCTGGTGGCAGGGCTCCAGGCCTACGTACACCCTGGACGGCTCGATCGCCGGGTCCGGTGGTAATTGACAGCCGACTAGGATCCCCGCGTAGCTGTCCACCGTCTCGCCCCACTCGTCCAACCAAATCGTCGACACCAGCGCTTCCACGCTCACCGCTCTGCCTCGTTCGTCCTCTTCGTACCTGCGTCACCGGGAACGGGAACGTTACGAACGAATTCTCAAAGACTGGGATATATTCTGGGACAGGTCTCGGAAGGAGGCCAATGTTTTTTTTCGATTTTGGGGCGGGGAAGCTTCGTGACCGAATTTGCATAATCGTTCGAAATTATGAAACAGCTACTCCGACGTGAAGGAAGTTTGACGGTAAGAAGGGCAAGAAGTTAGATTAAAGCGGCTGTCCGCGGAACTCGGTCAGTCCTATCGAACGGAGTAGTGCGTCGTTGACGAAAGTCAACGTTGTTCCTCCATTCGAGACGTCGTTATCTCGAAACTTTTAAACAGGAAGCTTTTAAGTGCTTTGGAAAATATAGAATCCCGAGAGGATAATGGCAAGACCCGTGCTCGAATATAGGGAGAATAAATCGCTGTTCTTCGTGAGAAATGTCAGTTTTTTTTTTTTTTTTTCGTAAAAAAGACCCGCGATCAAAATCACGCTGACGAAACGTGGCGATCTAGGATCCACGATCGAAAATTGGCGAAGGTTTTAGCCTGACTGACAACGGGAAGGCTGGCGAGGGCGGAGGGAAAGAAGTGTCTCACCAAACGGTGCAGAAAAGGCCAGAGGTCGGCAAAGGTCCACGTTTAACGCCAATCACCCTTAGGCTCGGGTAACCGGCCACTCTCAGGTCCAAGTGGGCACTGTACAGGAAGAGCTGTCCGGGGATTGTCTCGAGCCACTTCTCGTCGGCTAACTTGAACGTATTTAACGTCGTTCCATACGTTCCATTACCGTCGCACTCCTTAGTGGGCCTGTAATCGAGTGCCAATCTCCGCGCCCACGAGTAAGCCACGATGCTTCTTGTGCCCGGGGGTTCGCCACCTGGAAAATGTGTCAGAGAGAAAGAGAGAGAAAGAAAGAGATTGAGACCGTGATAGTCGCGTGACGCGTGCTACACACTATGCTCGTTGACGCGGAAGCGGCCGTGGCGCCCGTTTTTCGGCTAATTAATTCGATTCGTGCGTGATACGGGCTATTAAGCGAGAAGCTACGTCGAACAGCGCGAAAGAGATGGACCATCTTGAGCCATCAACCGTTTCAAGCGACTCTGGATAATTAGATTCAGTTATCTAGCCAACCAGTCTGTGTTTTCGTTTCAGTTCACGCTATTCGATCAAAATTCATGGGCGATGATTGATTCGGTCTAGAGAAAATAATTTCAACTAATGGGATATTTTTATTAAAGAATGTTACTATCACTACAGCGATAGTGTCGGAAAATTGTAAATTTCCTTTTTAATAATCTTTTGCCCTGGACTGTCTAAAAATCTAGCCAACAGCTCGGATTTCCCTTTTTATAATTTGCTGATCATTAGAACGATCGTGTACACTTGGTGTTGTGTAATCTAACGCCTAGAGTAGAAGATATGATAACGACGTAAGAGGAACAAAACAATTTCAGAAATGGAAATTTCTAAAAATAGTTTCGATTGACACTCAGTAATTCACATAAACTAGATTTTTCCCGGGATTGAAACTGTGTATCATTAACTCTGAAACTATGTATCGTTATATATTTGTATATTCTAGCAAATCCATAATGCACCGATATCACGCGTTAGAAAAATATAACGAACAAAATTTCGCATTAAATACCATTTGAATGATTATTTCCAATGCTACGTCATTTTATTCGTAATGATGATGCTTCGTAAATAAAGTCCAGATAGATGATACAAAAAAAAAAAAAAGAACGTTTATCGAGGACTGAAGGGTTAAATATTAGCTTAGTTGTATGGTGTCATCGTTCTCTACGAATAGAAAGGCAGTCTAGAGGCGACCGGATGGAAGTATTACGTCATCGAGCGAGACCGGATGCCGTCGTACGTCGTGGATACGTTCACGTGTCAATAGAATCGTGCCACGGTCGAATTGTTTCTTTCTATAATTCCTTGGTAATTTCTTTAATCCCTTGTTCCAAGGGGACTTGGAAGAGCGTTACTGACCTCCGCCTGGGCATCGATTACTAGCATTACGCAGAATTTCAATTGCTTCGTTCGTTAATTGGCCTCTAATAGCAAATACGTACTCAACGTACGTATGCACGTCGAAGGAAAACTCGTTTCGCGCAAAAGTCACGAACGACCAGAAGTCACGACCACCTTGGCTACCTCGATCATATTTTCATTCCTTCCGCCGTCACGATCGATTCGTTTAATGGATTCGATGATGAAACATGCGATTTGTTCACGCACGATGAAACGCAAACAGAGAGTACCCGGCTGACGATCGCGCCAGACCGTTTCTTACGGTTTTAATCAGTATTCGAGAATTGACGTTGATCGTGACGTTAACTACCCGGCCGTATAGTGAATCTCTATTCATTTATTCTACGCAACTGCAATTTCTCAATTTCAATTTTTGAAAACCGTCTTCCTAGCGTGCAATTACTTTTGCACGGCTTCAGTCTCGATTTAAATTCATTTTTCTTTTTTTTTCAATCTTTTTAAAACCACATTCTGGGTATAGTTATCTTTATGTCACTCCAACCTCTCGTTATAAATTCATTTTCCTTTTTCAAATTTTTTTAAATCGTTTCTTTAGCGCAGTTACTTTCGTACAGCTTCAACCTTTTAATTTGTATTTAATCTTATCTTTTTTTTTCTTTAACTTTTTAGAACCGCCTTCTTATGATTAGTGCAATTACTTTTGTGTAATTTCAGTCTCGATTTAAATTTCTTCTTTTTTTCAATCTTTTTAAAACCACATTCTGGGTATAGTTACCTTTATGCCACTCCAACCTCTCGGTGTAAATTCATTTTTTTTTTTTCAAATTTTTTTAAATCGTTCCTTTAGCGCAGTTACTTTCGTACAGCTTCAACCTTTTAATTTGTATTTAATCTTATCTTTTTTTTTCTTTAACTTTTTAAAACCGCCTTCTTATAATTAGTGCAATTACTTTTATGTAATTTCAATCTCGATTTAAATTCATTTTTTTCTTTTTAACTTCTTAAAACCGCTTTCTTGGTATAATTACTTTTGTACAACTTCAATTTCTCAATTTAAATTCTCCTTTCTTTTTAAAACTTTTTTAAAACCATGTTCTCAGTATAGTTATCTTTATACTGCTCCAGCATTATTTAAATTCATCTCTTTCCGTAATTTTTAAAAACCGCCATTTTATTACAAATACTTTCGTACAACTTCAACTTTTCAATTTGAATTTATTCATTTATTTTTTTTATCTTAACTTTTTAAAACCGCCTTCTTTTACTTTTATATAATATCGATCTCGATTTAAATTCATTTTCTCCACTTAATTTTTCAAAACTGCCGTAGTACAATTGTACAACTTCTACGCAACTCCAACCTCTCAGTTTAAATTCATTTTTAAAAGCTTTTTAAAGCCGCCTACTGAGTACAATTACTCCGACAGAATAAACCAAACTGCACCAAAAATACGTTCATTACGGACATTTCCAATTATTTGCGAGGACACGCGAAAGATCGGCACGTTTCTTCAACTCGTTGAAAACCGAACTTCCGAAGCATCTCGCAAGGTGTGCAAGCGTAAAATAACCATTTCCCGTTAATTCTCGAATTAAAGCAGCTTGGTCGGCCAATTAAATCCGTGTCCTTTGGCGAGCGATCGCCTCGATCACGCGTTCTCTCTCCTTCTTTCGCTTTGCCGCATAAAACAATTTGTTCGTTCGGAGCGGGACGTCGGTAATCCGGCCGATGCATCCTACCGTGTACCGTCATTAAAAGTTGTGTCTACGCTTGACCCAACGACCGCGTATTACGCCGATACCGCGCACGATGGCAACCTGCCCTTTAGCAACCTCGCTTCCTCCTTTCCTTCGGCGACGACGCCACGGTTCGCCAGTTTTACGAGAAAGCGAACTCTGCTGCTGCTGCTGCTGTTGCTGCAACCGGTATCCGATAGAGATACGATAGAGAATCGACTCGACACGGTCGAAAAATTTTAAAGGAACGAGCAAGCTCGCGAGTTGGCAAGTGTTTCTTTTTTTGTTTTCTTTTTCTTTTTCTTTTTCTCTTCAGCAACTCGCCGAAGGGTTTCCGTGAAATATTTCGATCGAAGGAGACACGTTTAATCGAAGGAGAAAGGAGGACGATATCAAGTGGACGAGGAGGCAATATCGGTAAATGAATCGAGCTGTAAATTACGTCACCTAATGAAGTCGCTACCGCCAAGGAACCGTGTAAAGATTTGTGTTCGCGATAAGCCTGTGTCACAGCGTCGCGGTTGATTTACGGCCACCGAGGGGCGAGCTTTTTGCACGCGATCCCGCTCCGTTTCTTTGGGAATTAGCTGGTGTCGATCCTTGCCGGAGAGTTACTTCGTTTTCGATCTGGTCGACAGAGTGACGGTTCGAGCATAGAGTAGGTGTTAATTTACGTGACGTATAATCGCGAGGCTGTACTCAGTTCATTGAATTTAATTCGTTTCGCGAGTCTGGAAGAATCTGGAAATTAGCATAAATCTCCAGTAAAGATCGTCCCGGTTGTTCAGCTTGCACGTTGATCCGTTGAACCGTAGCAGAGAATTCACCGTGGCAGAGATTCTTCCCATACCTGCGTGTACAGGTTACAAAGTATAGCGTTCGATTTACACGCGATCGCTGGTCGAGGAACTTACTCAAAGGGAAATCTGACGCGTTTTCCGAAGAGGAAGGGGAGGCAGCGAACTCGTTACGCGATTGACGCGATTAAGCGTAATCGTTCGAACTATGAATTAATACTGGCACGGCCAGAGGCACGCGTGGTATTTTCCTATTCTTTGTCGGCCGTAGCCAACGCTGGGAAGGTATTCGCCGGGTAAGAAATAGTGCGAACGCCGAGACACAAATCTCGGTACCGTGGTCGGAACGAGGCTATCGTAACACAATTCGTGGGAATTGCTCGTACGATCCTACTTGTCGTGTATCAATATCGCTCTGTCGGCGAAAACGACTCGAGCGTTTCGTCACCTTTCCTTTCGTCCGTGCCAGAAATGCCTTTGCCATTAATTACGACCCGGCGCTATAAACTTTACGATTTCATAAAGATCCTGAATAATTACCTTGTCTTGCACGTACTACGTACGAGTAGAAATTTATTACAGCTCAATGTCGTATATACTCTTGGCATCTTTCTCTTTTTCAACAACGAATTTTTTTATATTAATCTCTTGGCTATGGCAGACTTTGAATCGCGAAATAAGAGAAAAAAAAAGCACCGAATTGCACTGCATTAAACCAATATTAATTATTTATTTATTCGTATTACGTATTAAATCGTCAGTGCACGTACTAAAAATTTAATAGTAATTTTGAGCTTTTTTAAGCATATAATGTATCTTAATAATCTAGCAAGGTATGGTAGTATAATTCAATACATAATCCTACGTCACATTTCTTGCGTCTCTGTTCTTCTGTCATGTTTACACTATACATTTAAAAAATTTTAAAAATATCGAGCACAAATGATTGGCTGTTTACATTTACTTTGGCTCCACTAGTTTGATCATGAAATTCGTGAATTATAGGTTGGAAATTTTCCTCGCGTCGAGAAAAATCGTTCATTATTGACGCAGTGTATCGAAGTTTGACGAACACGCACGACTTGAGAATTTCACTACACGTTTCGAGCAAAGCGAACGGATGGATCGGAGACCATCGGGAAACATAAATTTCTCATGGTGTCAGATCGGCATGCTCGAACTGCAGACAGCTTTGATATGCAAATACGTGGATATAGAAGAGGATAAAAAGTCGAACATTTGCATATTTAAGGAAACTGTTATCAATGATCTTTGAGGGGCGTTTGATACTTTGGAGAAAATAAATTTGCGATTCTTGCACGGTGGAATTCCACTCCCGGGTGGAATACCACTTTCGAAAACAGGCTGAAACGAGGCTGTCCTTGCTATTCTTTGCTGAGAGAGAGATATCCCAATTTTTAGTGACGATATATCGGAATTTTTCTATTCGATCCATCGAAGATTTCACAGACACCGAGCCAAACTAAACCTAGCCGAAATCAAGCTACGATAGAAGAAGAAAGAAAAAAAGAAGAAAGGGAGGAAAAAAAATGAGGCATTGTTAGGTGGCAAAGGCGCGTTAGTGGATACGAGTTGTGAACCGTTCAGCGATAACGAAAGGGCAAGGGTCGCGCGCTGCTGGAGGCGAAGGAGCGCGGGCAAAGGAGAAAATTGCTTACCAGGCGTGGGAGGAGGATCCGCTGGTGGATCCGGGAGTTGCGGCGGCGAGTCGAGCAGAGTCAACACGCACAACGCGGTAACCAGCACGGCCACTAGGCCGGCTCTGCATAGTCTCCTAGTGCCCGCGACCGACATATTTCCCTCTGGTGTTTGCCTCGTGCTGCCACGTGATCGCGAGAGCGCGAGCGTGGCCGCCGCTCGACTTTCGATCACCGCGCCAGCCTCGAAACGCTTCGAAACCGAGCCATGTTCCACCAACGATTTGCAATTCAATTCCTCGGGGATTCCTCAGGCTGAGAGAGGAATACCTCCTCGAGAGATCAAAGTTCGCCAGGCAAGACCAGCCAACGAAACTGCCTTGAAACTGCCGGCTGAAACAGCCACGATGACGACGGGGCTCGCGATGAAAGTCGTTGATCGCGAGACTAGGAAGCATTCAGCGTCATTCTGCTGATGGCCGATTCCGATGACTCGTGCGTTCGCACGAGTGCGGATGTACCGTTGCACGGGCTCGATTCAAGTTTCGAGAGTCGCCAGTCGATAGTAGCCAGTAGAATGGCGGATGGATGCGGCAGGGACGGAATCGATCGGCGATAAAACCAGCCAGCCAGCGATTCCCAGCGAGAGATCGGCGCTCGAATTCGATGGAGCCGACGGTGGTTGGAGCGCACGCAGATCGATCAGAGCGGGATCAGGCTTTTCTGGTTCCCTGGACGACGATGGATGCGCGCTGCTTTGCATAACACGCTTTCCGCTACACTTTCATCGGCTCTTAACGCTCCTCTCCAATGCGGGTCTAATGATCTGGCTGAGAGAAGCCGCGCGACATATATACGCGGGGCCAGCCGCGGACTGGTTCACTGGAATCGCGGAAATCTGGATTTATAGGATGCACGCTCTCGCATCTCGCTTAGAAACGCGATGTTGGCGTGCGTGGCAGTCATTCAACCTTCGAGATTGAAAGTTGCCACGCGATTCGCGGTTTTTACGAGTCGTTGCTCCTCGCCCGACTTTCCAACTATCGCTCGACTCGACGAAAAGAAGGAGAAAAAGAGCAGCAGCGCTGAGAAATCCGCGATCTTCCTCCCGTCTCGTTCCTCCTCGAACATCCGCTCGAGTCTTGTCTATCTTCTCGCAAGAGAATCGATCGATATCGTCGAGCGATAAAGCGAACTCGTTTCGCTTTGGAAATCGTCGTGATCGGCGATCATCGCGCGCGTACCGTGAAATCAACCGAGGTGGAGGTGGAGGATCGGCGACGGCCGGCGGCCTTCTCGGAAAAGTCGTTCGTCGGCAAATCGACAGACCGGTACTCTCGCAAACGAGACGCGCAGCCAGCCTGTTTAATAGTCGCGGCCGGCGTGTGGGTTCCAAGGTGAGCACACGAATCTGTCTTCCCGAGTTGCGTAAAAAGCAGCGTGGAAGCTGCACGACCTCCCACGCGACGCTGCCGCTTCTTCGTAGGACGGTGGACCATGTATGGTCGCGCTCACCAAGCCAGCCTCCACGGACACAAGAGCGACTCGCCAGGACCGCCGATAATCTAATTAACCTGGTATCTCTGTCGCTTTAAGCGTTTTTTGCGCGCCACCGTTTCTTCTGCATCCCGTCAATCCTGCTCCCGCTCGCTCCCCTATGCTTTACACTCGCCTTTTTCCCTCCCCTCCTTCCTACCGCGCTCGTTCGTTCGCTTGCTTGCTTTCTCGTTTCCTCGATCGACCTCTTTTTTTCTTTTCTTCTTTTTCTTTTCTCCCCTCCCCCCCCCTCCTCCCCCCCTCCTCCCCCCGTGTCTAGTTCTTCCTTGACTTATTTGTACCACCGATCACGAGCAGTCGACCGATCCGAGTCTACAAGCCGAGCGATCGTTACCGAATCGACGCGTCGATTCACGATACCGTGACCACTCCAAATTCACTCGCCAAAGTCATCGCGCCCGGTTTCGCCTCGGAACCGTGAGTCGTCGAACGATACTCGGCGATGAGATTGCGTTTCTTTGTCACCCGATTCGGATTCAATCTCTCTCTCTCTCTCTCTCTCTCTCTCTCTCTCCGTTAATTCGAACCGTGAGAACTGATTTCTCGATCGATGTTTCCTTCACGGCCGTGTCTCTCTCGAGAACTCCCGTACTCTGTGGCTAACGAAGCATTAGGAGTTTAAGAAGGTCGTAATATTCGTGTTTCTTGGTGACCGCTCGATCAGACGTTTTCCGTCTTCTTGTTTTTGTCGATCGTCTCCTTTCACGATCTGCAGCCAGACGCTCAAGCACAATGTCACTTCCGCTCTTCATAGTCTAATGATCCGATCGGCGCAGCCGCGCGACATGAAATAAATCTGAACTCGGACTCGGCTGGTCTCTCCAGCTGTCCTGGCTGACGACCACCCAGCGAAACTTACGTATTCCGTATTCACGGTAGCGAATTGCTTTAATGAAACCACGGGGCGGAGCTCGTCTCGGCGGCTCTACTTGTAAAATTCACCTTTCGCCTCCAGCCACGACGTCTTACTCCCCTTATCTGCCTTACGCTCGCTCGCCTATCTCTACCGCTCCTTGCCACTTGTTCGTGTCACACACTGCGATTGGAAACAAAGTTAAAACTGGTATTTCTTCTTCTCACGGTCCACTACCACGGTCAAAACCAGGATTATGCTCGAATTAACTTTAGATTGAAACCACCTTGCGATGGCACAAAGTGATTGCAAATGATCGTCCACCTTAATCGCGAATTATATCGGGCTTCCTTATTTCACCTTCTGTCTGTGTTCTTCGACCGACGAATTAACACTACCGAAGATTCTCGACCGTAATTACGACGCATCGGCTCTCAAAATCGTTTTCCTCGAAATCGAAACCGCGAAATCTCGAAAAGGAAGGACGCGCCGCACTCGAGTCGGTGAGTTGCGTTCAGAGGCGAGAAACACGTGGCCCGGTGGCCCGGTCCGGTTCACCAAAACACGGCCGGCACCCGGCGGAAGGTTCGGAGCGCACGTGGTCGCCGGATCGACCGAGCGGATTGGTGCAATCTCGCCTGCGCGAGAGTCCGGAGCGTACTGTGTTGGAGCGGTAGGTGAACGCGCCACCACCAGCCCGCAGTTGGAGTCCCGACGAGTTTGGTCCCGAGTTGTGCCTCGGCGTTGTGCCTCGCCAATGCGCCTTGCCTTGCCCCATCCCTACCGCGATTCGCCTCGCCTCGCCTCGCCACTGCTACGACCTAGCTCTTCCTGGCCGTCCTGCCGCGAGAGACTCTGCTTAGCTACTCTCTCTTTCTCTCTCTTTGAGGCCGGATAGTTAGTCGGCTTTACCTTGTCGCAGCCTTGCCAGCCACGCCACACTGCGTCTCTCTCTTTCTCTCTCTCCTTTTCTTTTGCTTCTGTTTTCTTTTCATATTTGCTACTTACTGCCGCGCAACGCCACGCACGCCTTGGTGCACGCTGTCTCGATGCTCGAGTTTCGACGATGAGAGGGATGAGAGGGTTCGATTGCTCGAGATTGACGAGAGATTGCTGCTTCTCGAAGGGACGCGTTCCACATGTATTTCCACCCTCGAAAAATAAAATTGATCTCAGCCTCCGCTGAAGATTTCATTGAAATCCTGAATCCCCAGATCAGGAGTTCAAGCCAATCGTTCAATTCGTTCAATCTTCGGAAAATCAATCAGCGAGGGATTGAACACACATTGCGCACTCGGCGCGCTCAACCTATTCCCAGGGTCCGCATATATTTTTGGAGCAACAGGGAAACTTTGTACAATGCATATATGCACTTTTTAAATTCACATTGATAAAATATTCTTAAATATTACAGTGATATTTAAGAATCTAATTATTATGTATTTTAGATTTTAACTGTTATTTATTTTGTATTTGTAGTAACACATTGTGAACGGTCTGATAAACATATAGCCTGTATTTCCTCGCATTTTTTGACTTATTTAATATATGATTGAAAGGATTCAAGAGTATGTATAGCATTTAACAAATGTATTATTTTATTAAGAAGTAAAATGAAAATAAAATAGAAATACCTCTAGTAACGTTTCTTGAAAACTACTTTTTGAAAAATTTATATGCGGTGCCTGAGTCGTGTCCCCTACAACGCAAAATAACGTTCCCCGTCCGCAATGTTGAAAATCAAAAGACGCGAAATTAGCGTCTCCTGTCCGCAACAGTTGAAAACTGAAAGATGCGAATGCGCGTCTCCCGTCCACGATGTGTTGTAAGAAGCGAAACAGTTTGGGACGAGTATTACGACTCGCACTATGAACGAAATCTAATTTTCGAAAGGAAATTGAAGAGTATCGTGGACATCCCCGTGAATCGTGCCACGTCGCAACACAAACGGTACAGGCGGAATTTGGTAAAACCTGGTCTTGGAACGTTCGACGTGTGCTCTTAATCGATCGACTTTTTTTCCTCCCGGCGAAACAAACCAGCAATCTTTTTCTCTCGGTGTCCCTGGTGATCGACGATACCTTTCAGATTGCGGCACGTTCTTCTCTCCTCTCTTCCAAAGTCTCTCTCTCTCTCTCTCTCTCTCTCTCTCTCTCTCTCTTTCTCTCTTTTTTCCGTCGTCTGGCCGACCACCGTGAAGCATCCGCGCCACTTGTCGTACTTGTCAAAGCGTATTGCACGTTGACCGATGGCAGCTGAGCCCGCGAAGCGAGTTCATTTGAACCGGACAGCTAACCTCGAAGTCGAACCTTCCTCATCGCGGCTTGAAATTGCACGAATCTCCGAGCGGACAGGACACAGGCTGATTACAGTCGGGATTGAGCGGCGAGCGAGTTGATGGCCGCGAGAGGAAGGCAAATGAAATTCGTAGGTGCGAATTTTTTTTTTTCTCTGTTTTTTTAGCCGCGGCTTCTTAATGTTTGCTCTGCGAAGGAGACTGATGACTGCAAGAACCGTTCGAGCAGACGGTTGTCCGTTCGGGCAGCGTAATTATTCCGAAGGGGCTGACCGAAGACGAGGATCCAAGGCCACGGAAATTGTGGTACTATTAGGATCCTCTGGAATTATACATTTCACGCGTGCCTCGATATACTCACGTTTCTTTTTTCCTTTCTTTTTTTTTTTTTTTTTTCTTATTTTCACACAAATCGGAGGTAAATTATTTTCCTTACTAGGAGATCTTGGGTCGTTGCATTTGTTGCAACCAGGTTGCCTGATTACACGTGCACTGATAATCTGTTTTCGTTTCTGATTTCAGACGTCTCGTAAAGAGCTATCAACCCAAGAAGAAGGAGGAGGAGGATTATCAGTAAGTATGAGCTAACTAGGAGGCCGTAATACCGGATCCACGCTTCGTAGTAATGTTCCTCGACATGAATAACGCTTCAAAATAATTCCTACTTCAAAATACGGTCTGTCTATTTTTTCCTTTCTCTTGTATTTTTTTTTTTCTTTTTCTCTTTGTCACGCGTAAATTATATTTTAGTAGGTCGCTTTGCTTAGAACGACTTTTCTACCTGGCATCTAGCCAATTTTTTTTATATCCTTAGACATTTCGCGAACATCAGTCCAATCAATGATAGCACAAGTTTTGCTTGTGTGCTTTTTTAGACTTTCAATTAGAAGGCGAACGCGGTGTCGCGGAAGGAAGAAAAAGAAGAATTCTCGAGCGTCTTTAATATTCGTAGCGCGACAGAAAACAGTAGCTAATCTCTTATCTAGGGGCGTGGGTAGATTGCACTATATAAGTTCAGTCAGCAACTTGCTCGTCATCGCGCTTAAAGACTTGCCCCCTCTTTTCGTGTCGCGGCTCGTTCCGCGTCATATTCATTTACATGAATAGAAGATTTATGTACGATCAACCGTTGTATAATTAAACAACGACGCGCATGAACTTTGACCGCAGGTATAGCCCATGCCGAGCGTTCAAAATGGAGCTGAACGAGGTAAACGATCAGGCAGGACAGAGGGAAGTGATCGCGGAGAATTTACAGGCAAACGTGCTAAGGGAATTGAATATTCTCGTGAAGGATTTCAAGGAGGATCGTAAAAAGCATCTTCAAGAAGGCGCCAGATTGATGGCGAACCTGACCGGTCAGATTGGAAATCTGGAACGTGCTAGGAAGGCTTACGAAAAAGCTTTCCGCGAAGCGGAAAGAGCAGTGGAGAATTATCAGAGGGCAGACGCCGATTTGAATCTTTCGAGAGCGGAAGTAGGTGGATGATGTTGATTTTTGTAGCCCCACCTTCGTACCCGAAATATTTCGACTTTAATCTCGCTTGTATAGCCTTTAACATTAAACGATATGAAATATGTAAATTTATGTAAATTCCGAATGATTTGTTTTATGCTCAGGTCGAGAAGCAGAGGATGAACATGACTTTGAAAACACAGCAGAGCGAGGAGGCGAAAACCGAGTACGCGAATCAGTTGCAGAAAACAAACGACATGCAAACGCTACATTATCACACGGCCATGCCAGAAGTATTCCAACATCTGCAGGTAAATAAATTATTAAAGTATGAAAAAAAAAAATTATTCGCGCGCGTATGCAGCTCGAATTCAGAAATTCCATTCTTTGAAGATTCATTCAATTTCAATGCTCTATATGTTTTGTTGCAGGAGCTCGATGAAAAGAGAATAAAAAACATGCGAAACTACATGCTTAAATCCGTAGAAATAGAACGAGCAGTGGCTCCGATAATCGCTCAGTGTTTAGACGGTATCGAGAAAGCGGCAAATGAGATCAATGAAAAAAAAGACACGTTATTGGTGATCGAACGTTACAAAAGCGGCTTCCAGCCTCCGGGAGATTTTCCATTCGAAGACCTTTCCGTAGCAAAAACGTATGACAGCAATAGTCAGCTGTCGCAGCCTGTGATGCAGCCAATACACAATCATCACTTAACAGCGAAGGGTACCGTTTCCGGTAGTAAAATCAAGAAGAGAGTTGGTCTATTCGGAATATTCAGTAGCAATAAGGTAAATGTTGTACATAACATTTGAATATAACGTAGCTCTTATCTGTGTCATAAATATGTTTGTGAATCAAGCATTTGTTTATGTTTTTTTTCTCTTATTCTCTCTAAAAGTATAGAAACATCAAAAATAGAACAAAAGATGGTTACAATATGCACGAAAAAAGTAACCATTATTCTTTTTTTTTTTCAAAGTGTTATTCGAAATGCATTTCCATATCATTACCAATTAGCAAGCCTGAAATATGCTCATAAATCTTGTACAGCATGAGTGATCCGTATAATTTTTAGTTTTTTTTTTTTTTTTAACGATTGTGTTTCCGTGTATTTATATATATATATATAAATAGCGCTGTATTATTTCATTTGAAGTTTCGTTTTTATCTCATGCAATCAAGCAAAAAAGACACATAAAATCAGATATCACATTCATTCCATTTAGTTTTCGATTCGTTAATTTAAGATAGTATCGCGTTAATTTTCGCGTCGCCAGCATAACTTATCTTTCTTCTGTACTTTTTATTAATTTGGTGGATGGTTCGATCTGCCTGTGTGGTCTCTTGTTTCCAATCATCCGTGGACTATGAATTTGGATACTGTTGTACTTAGTAAGTACACTACGAATCGCTTGCTTGCCTGCCACTATGTAACATCAGCATTTTGTTCTGAATCGAGATATATGTGTATATATATATATATATCATTAACTACGTATTGTTTGTTAACTGTGTCTTATTTGCCGAGTACAAACTCAGACATCGTTGAAGCAGTAAACATTTTACACTTTTTACATAGTACTAGTCGCGATATTTTCATTCGCTGAGTTTTTACTCAATACTATTGCTTGAGACTTGTTTTTTTTTCTGATTCATTCGCTGAATGATACGCTTTTGGAATTTGTTTCATGCGAACAACAGAAGTTGATCGAGGTGGGCATAGCTTTGAAGGTCTGTCTATTTCTTCACTGTCGTCATTGTCTTTTGTACGACAGTCCGTATTGACAGAGTCCCACTGTTTTAATGATTAATCACAGAATATTTCTCTTTATGTATTTTTTTTTTTTAATTCCATTGATAGTTTGTCTAGCTCCAAGAGTATGCTCGTGATAATGACGCATATATATATAAAACGTTGAATTTGTGTTTGTTAACTCTTAATTGGTAACGTAGAATTAACTATATGTCATATCTATGACAATCACGTGCTTTTCTCTTGTTTTCCATCGTTCATTCCTTCATTAGATTCTTTTTTTGTCGGCATCATGTTTGAAATTTGGATACTTAAACTGAAATATTCCAGAATAACGTGGCTGGATATGGCGACGGTGCGAAGGAGGATTGCAGCGATCTACCTCCAAATCAACGCAAGAAGCGACTGCAACAGAGGTTGGATGAAATTCAAGCGAAAATTCAGCAAGAGACTGCGGCCAGGGATGGCTTGATGAAGATGAAGGGCGTGTACGAGCAAAATCCTGCATTAGGTGATCCGATGAGCATAGAAGGACAATTGAATCAATCGAGCAACAAGCTAGACAAACTCGGCGCGGAGTTGGCAAAGTTCCAAGGTTATCTTGAAGAAGCAATGCGCGCCGACATCAGTTTATCCAGGTGACTTTGCAAAATTTCATAGACTACTTTCACAATCTACTTAGTCTGTGATGTAAGTTGTTACAATTTAAAATTTCTAGTCCCAGTCAAGCACCACGAAAACCGACTAGTAATGGTTCTGCAACGAGACCGCTAAGTTCAAGAAGATCCAGTCATTCAGGAGGAGAGGAAAGTCTTTCAAGATCGGCGTCTGACTCAAGCGTAAGCAACACGAATGCTAATCAATCAATGCATAAGAAAAGTGCTCCGGGTACACCTCAGCCGACGCACGGGTAAGTTTTAATTAACTATGGATTCGTGTTTTAAATTTTATTAACGTTATATCGGATTACATTATCGGATTTAATGTAGGATTTACCGTGAAAGGCTTCCTTTTCCGTTAAATAGAAGAATCTTGAGTGATAATAATAAGCTTTTGAATCGGTATAAATATAGATCAGAATTTTTAACTAGACCAATTAGACACGCTTTTCGCTTTACGGTACTGATGCACAGTTCCACGAATAGCCCGGAATCTGGTCTTGGAGAATCGAGGACATCGCTTCCTGGTAGTGGTGGAGAAGAATATTACGTTGATGAAATTGATGCTCAACCGCCATTGGGAACGTGTAGAGCTCTTTATCCTTTCGATGGTATGTGTATATATTCAAAAATTTTGTCAAATTTTTGTATCCTGTTAATAATCTAGAAATATACATATGAATTGGGAATTATATTTTTAGCGACTAGCGAAGGCTCAATACCTATGTACGATGGAGAAGAGTTGTACATGATTGAATTAGATCAAGGGGATGGGTGGACTCGTGTTCGTCGTATTTCACAACCAATCGAGGGTTTTGTACCTACATCTTACATAGAGTGTCATTTGTATAACACTTAGCCGCTTCTTTTAGGACGTTAAACAATTGTGAAGTGGTGAAGTTCTAAGATTATTTATGCTATTAGTTCGATATGAACGATTAAAAATAGCAATTCATGTGAGTGTCAGTGAGGGTTCTGTGTTGGTTAAATGGCACAAAATTTCAGGATATACTCTGGTCAAATCATGGGCCTAAATGTCAATGATGTTATATAAATGAGAATTAATATATGTGCCAATATTCTGATTTTTGAGAGAATCTTATGACTCATCAGATTCAGTTATGTCCAACACACTTCTCTCTAGCTTCCATCAGTTCCATCGCAAGAACAAAGGAAGAACAAAGAGAAAATAAGTTTCACTTTTAAGATTTAGCTTCTTTTATACAGTGATTGATAAGTTGAACTCACTTAATACTAAATATAATAATTATGATCGTAAAATTACTTAAAAAACGATTACGCCCAACCATTTAAAAGAATTTCATCGTACATGTTCAATATTTACAAAATACGATACATTTTTCTAAGAAAAATGATAAAAGCACCCTGATCACTTGGATCATTCTGGAAACGTGTTTCTGTAATTTAGATGTGCACAAGTGAACAATTTGCAACTTAAAAATTATTTGCAAAATAATGAAAGTAAATACCTGTCGTATAATATACACGTACACATATGTAACATGTGCTCCGCCTATACATCACGGATAAAAATGATCATTGTTATAATTGCGCGAGTTTTTATATGTATATATTTTTTTTTAATTCGGTTGTAAAGCAGGCAATTCACGAATGAATTCGAGTTATCCCTGCCGAAGTTTAGGAAACTGATCAATTCTAGAGTGCTTTTAAATTTACTTTTTATTTAAATCTTATATATATGTATGACAGAAATGTATTTTTTATTTTAATATATTGATGTCTGTTTTTTCAGTCGACGATAGAAAAGTGATGGTCACTTCTTTACAATTATTTTTGAATCTTTTTTATCTTCTATTGTTGTATAAGTTTATCAATTGACGTCGTTTTTATTGTTTTTTCTTTTTCCTAATGCAACAAGAAGGTGATTAGGTGGTGCTCTGTACAGCAAATAGATTCCGAAGATTGGACGGCTAAGTTTTGTTTATGATATTGTCTGGATGTGAATTTAGTTAGGATATATTTCTGTACATATTGCAAGGGATATGGGAGAAAAAAACGAGAAATGAATGGTACGTGTGTGAGTGCCAGATTCAATGTACACTCTGCGAAGCGATGAATTTGTTTCCATTGCAGGTACAAATGCGGAATAGCGGCGTTGGCATTTTTCGTTTAAGAAAACGCCTCTGTTTTGATATCTTTGGAAAGAACTTCTAGCTTCGCAGTTACAAAGTCTAGATTCGTCCTAGATTTGATTGCGATGTATTGAAATCGTGTAGTCACATATATGCTCGCGTATTAAAAATATGTATATGTATATATATATAAACTATAATCACTCATTAAAATATAGCTTCGGTATATAAGGTACGCAAGTACAGAAAATAAAACGAAGATCAAGAGCCCTTTCCTCAGCCGCAATTGCTGCCTATTCATTCGCTATAATTTCTTTATTCCCTGACGTATGTGCGATTATATAGTGCGATAAGTTTTGCTGCATTTTCCAAGTAATCGGTAATAAGCATGCGGCACGTGTTTCTACGGGATCTTTTTTTTTTTTTAATTTATCATTACCGTCAGAGAGAAAGCATTAAGAAAGTTTAAATTTTGCGAGAGTCATCAGTATTTTCGCGTTCGGATATCGATTTCAATAGAAAGTCAATCGCGATACTTTTCGCTTGAATATCTATCGTTGATAGGCTGTATCACTTTATCAAAGTGGAAAGAGAAAACCATTAGATAACGATAGAGAACAGAAAAAAAGGACGAGATCCATATGTCTACCTTAATTCTTAACGTTCAAGTGCGTCCATTCTATGTATATTTTGTGATTTTATATCCACGAACAAGTATTGTAGATAATTAACTTCGCGACTCATTATACGTTTAATTATTATTATTAATTATTATTATTAATATTGAAAAAATATAGCTACTAAACCAACATAATATGGTCTTTGACACTAATGTACAAATCCATTTATCCATCTATTATTCCTCAATGTATTTTTAATAGAACGGAAGTGAGTTAGAAAGAAAAACAAGGAAGAATTGTGTTTCTTAAAGTATATTATAACATTTCGCGGACAATTGACTAGATCAGAAATACAGAGCAATACATTCTGATACTTGTTGTGCATATACACAGAGCTACATTACAATTAATACATAATACAGTTTAATACATATCGTTTATAAATTAAATACAATCGTTCCTGTAAAATTCTTGCCAGTCCATGAGACACGTATCTAAGCAGAAGAATACCGTAAATTCTTATATATCAGAATGATATATATTAGATTTATATTTTTCGTTTTCTTTTTTCCTCTTCAATATTTTATAAAATCAAAGTGATCGATCGATTTATAGCGAAAATATCAACAATAGATTTCGCCTGTATATTGGCAGTCGTTTGATTATGTCGAATATGTCGCAAATCCACGCGTAAAAAATAATAAAACGTATCTTAAATGTACAGGATATTTATTTGGAGTTAGTAAAAATATGGTAGTAAATTGAATCGGCAGCTCGCGATGTTACATATACATTAATCACAGCATTTGCGCAGGCCAAATGAGCGAGCAGCAGAATATCTAAAAAAATCCACACGGTACAAAACGAGAGTAAAAGAAGTGACAATCAATCGCTATCCACGAGATCAATGAAGAAAGTTCCAGGTACGCGGCAAATCTATCCTTAAGTACAGATTGTGAAAAACATCAACTAGAGAAAGTTCCATTTCCTGATGATTCTTGCCGCATATCATCACACCTGTTGTCGGTCAGTCATATGTGTTTTTTTTTCATCACTGTACAAAATACTTGCTCTTGTTCTAAATTCGCGTAACGACCGGTTTGCGAACTTTCGAACAATCTCAGTCAATAGTAATGGAAGCAAACTACGTCCATGTGGGACGATTATTCGACGATCAACTGCTTTGGCAGATTTTATTGTTTTCTTTGAGCTATGGTTTTACTTCAAATAGTAAGATCCTCCCATTCTTCGACTTGTCGAGGGGTCAGTTCGATTTTAATTCGAGTCAAAGTACCGAGAAGATCATGCATCCTAGCCGTTAGGGGATTGGCTTGAAGATCGATAAATTCCAACGCGGGAGCGTGCCTAAGTCTTTCGACATCTATATCTAGAGAAACAAAATTATCAAGATTATAATATCAATAACTGGACCATTTGAATATCGTTTATATAACGTAGATATGTGCAATGCTTACCAATGATTGAATTGTTATTGGCAAGGAGCCGTTTCAGTTGCGGTATCCGACATGTAACGGGTGGCAATGCAATGAACGTATTATGCGAAATATCCAACCTTTCTAAAGCTTGCAATTCAGCAAGTTCTTCTGGTAACTTACTCATTTGATTATGACTCAGGTTCAATTCTAGAAACGATTATGTGTTTGAATTTGTATTACAGTACCTTTCAGCTTAAATAAAAAAAAAAAGAAATACAGATGAAATTTTCCTTAATTGTTGAAGACAAGAGGATAAAGAAGGAACAACAAAGATATTAACAGTACGAATATTTAATCGAATGCAAGTGTTAATCAACTTACCAGTGATCAGTGAGAATTTAACTGCAAATTTTGGTGGAATTTTTGTTATCACATTTCCTGACAAGTTACATCTTTTTAATTCTGTATGTCTCATTAAATGATAAACTGCATCAGGTACTTGCATCAATTGGCATTCTGATAGATCTGAAAAAAATATAAAATAACATTAAAAAAAGTTCTAAGTAAAATTATTTCGTTTCACGTTAGAAAAAAAAATATATTTTCCGAAATTTATATGTTAAATTAAATTAAATATATCGACAGTCATCGCGAACGATATATTGTTAGGCATATATAATTAGATTACATGTCGTAGAAAATAGTGATGTGTTCAATTTTCACAATTGGAGCACGAAGACATTGTGCCCGCCCGTATTGTGTTCTTGACAGATCAGCTGTCGAACTAGGTCAGTGTATCAATATTCCACGACGGTAACAATAGAAGTTTGCACACTTTTTTTTATTATTAATTCTCACTGTCGAAATTGCAGATCGATTCCGGCTTGATTTGTTTTGCAGGAACTATACTAAAAATTTCAAACAGCTTGAACATGTACGATTTTTTTTTATAAAACCCGCGATGCACCTGTAGCAGCGAGAACTAGGTCATGAACTAAATTGAAGTATTTACACCGACGACAATTGATTTAAATAGACTGGATCTGAATTTTTACGAAAACCGTGATTTTAACAGTCTGTCAAAGTAATTTCTTAGTTATTTCTCAAAGTACAGTTTACCAAGATTGTTAGTCTCTTGTGCATCTTCGCAGCGCAACACCACTCTCGTGACGGCATTCGCCATTTTGCTGAGGCAAACTGAGTCAAGTCAGACGTCTCACCACCTTGATGCGAAACATTTATTTTCGACGAACTTCAAAAATAAATAGCACCGGTTCGATGGTCTTGGCATTCATTCTACTTTCCGGAAATTCACGCCACGACGTGATTTATATAGAAGTCGACGACAATAATACTCGTAAAACGTCCAATACATATTAACAATTCAAGTGTCATGTTCCTTTAACGATTGAAATTTATCAATTCAGATTTATTAATGTCCCGTTTGAATTTTAATCGGCTGAAAACGAATTTTAAGAGTATTTTAGCGATGTGAAAATAGACGCGGGACGCTCGCTTGTTTGATATTGCGCTAGAAAGTCTCGTCGCCATTTTTCTAGCGCATGCGCGTTCAGTTCTGATTTCGTTGTGCTTTACACAATCGTTTCGCGTCAATCACTGTTTTTATAATTTATGTTGTTACAAATGTTTATATATGACGTAAACTAATGAATTTTGTTATCGAAGTGATTATGTATAACGGACGTGTGTAATAGATCATACAAGATAAAATACACGTTATTTCACGAGCCGACATATAACTATACTACTGAACATTTGAAAACTTCGCTACAAAGAAGCTATATTTCTTTTTTGCAAACTTTTTTATATTATTGTACGTTTTGAATTTTAACAATCTCATGTTGTATTAAATTTTGAACAGAAAGATCTTTTAACACTATCAACTACGAGTCGACTACCTGACTATGTTTTACTGTTTGTATTGACAGTGATGATGACTTTTTACTACGAAGTAGTAAATGGCTTTGGTGGCAAGCTACCATTTAAGGTTACGTTTCCATACATGGTGGCGTCTCACGTACTTGTATTCGTATACAGCGTACAAAATGTATGTAGGTATTTGTGGCTATGAAAATATATAGTACCGTCCGTGTTTTACATATAAAAAAAAAACAATACTCCGATAATATTCAGATAAAAATTGGTAATTCTTTGATTCCTTACAAAATAATACAATTATTAATCGTTTTCTATTTGTCAGATATTTTTGTAATATGCACACTGATGCAAACATTCTTTATAGAACAGCTACTACAGAGTTGAATGACAAACTGCAAGCTGACTCACCTATTCGAACATGAGTTTCCTGTTTTATATTTTGAACAAATGATACTAATGTCTCAGTGAGTTTGAAACGATATTTTATTGAAAGAAAATAATAAGCAAGAATATTCTACAGTTTTGTTACACAAAAATCGAATTTAAAGGTATGCAAAAATAATAGAACAAATAACAAGATGACATGAATTAGTAGTTCATTAACTTTCTTTTGATATGAATACATGTAAAAAAGATCAGGAAAAATGACTCTCGTATGGCATGCAAAGCGTGAGTATTTATTTGTAGTGGTTCACTATTCCGAGATTGACCTTTCGTGTTTCCAAAACGTCAAACAAGAGAACATTTCTGTTGATGGATCAATTGTCTCGCAGATTGATGCATCGATATATTGCACGATAATATTAATAGCGTTTTAATAACGTTAAAAAGTTGACAATCTTAAAATAAGATTCTTAAAATTAGAAATTGATTACAATTTTTTGATTAATGTTTTCTTATAGATTATTGTAATAAAATGAAAAAAAAAAAAATGGCACGAAAAGCATAGCATTTAGAATTTTGATAATAATACTTCAACTACGATACAGGTATTGCTTTAAGCTTTGTTCACAAAAACAAAATTTGCTCACGCGCGAACAATTTGCAACGCGTTCGGATCGATGGCTAGCTTAAGGAACAAAGACCGGATGCGAGAGTTGTGCAACACAATGTTTATCCAACCAATTATCTATGCTAGAGCTCGGAGTGAGCATTTCACTTTTATTCGAATTGATGCACGAGCCGTTACCGTAGCAAAGAATACTACCACCTGTTACGTATACTTGTCTAATGGATCGCTCTACAACATTAGATATCGCTATCACTTAACGATCTAATATTACAACTGTAACATCTCTTTTGTACTTTCGATCGTGAATTAGTAAAAAAGAAAGGAAGATCTTTTCAATCATTTGATATTAATTTAAAGAAATAGAATTAGAATCAATTTTTTAAATGATACAAAGAAATGCATTCATTGCGTATAATAAGCAATTATATGCGCAAATATTAAAGAAAAAGGATCACTTCTAGTCGTCGGTCTGAGTTTTATTGTTAAAACATTTTTTCTTTTTTAAGGATCGTTTACATTGTGATCCTTGAACGTGGCTCTCACCTTCGTTTTCTCCAATTCGAGACTTTCGCTAGTTACCGACTAGAAATCTTGTATTTATTTTTGACGACTTGACAAAGATGCTTTTCACAGTCAGTATAAAATTAAGAAGAAAAGAATGTGATCAGTATAAGAATTAATACACTATTTGGTAATTAATACAGTGAAATAATGAATAAACAAAGATGAGAAAATGCCCGATACAGATCTAGTCAAAACAAAGCTGGAAGAAACGACATTGAGGAAGATCTCAAATCTATCCGGATAAGACACGAGACTCGTTCTTTCTTTCAGGTTGAGGAAGCGAGTCGCGTGATCTACACTCTATACAATGCTTTGGAAAGCAAGCATTGATGTAGAAGACATTGATGATAGACATTGAACGTTTTCGCGTTCCTTTGAGAATGATGTCCAGTGTTCTAGACGAAGCTAATTTGTCACAGTAGTTTAAAAATTGAGCTTGTTACGGGTCGGTCGAAACAACGAATCAAGGTCGGCCGAAGAAACGCGTATCAAGTTGCCAACTTTATTAGTCCTCTGACTGAACGAATTCTAAGGTCGCTCGATGACACGTATCTATTAATTTATTATTCCATCGCACGTAATTTGTCGATAACGATATCGAGGCGGAACAACCAATTACATCGCGATGGAACAATTTCTTTATCTATTATATAAACAATATAGTTTATGTTATAAATGAACATCAAGCTACTTTCACCATTTCACACACATTAAGAAAATTATTTCCGATGCTGAGTGCTATAGAGAGTCGGACGTTACGTTGCCGGCAAATGTATGCTGTGAGTAGATTATACCAGTGAGTAGATCAGACCATGCGAACAACTGGCAAGCTTCAAATCTGCACAAGATTTGTGGTTCATCAGATTTGCGATATATAATTTACATTTTACTGCAAGTATTCATAGAAAAGTTTAGTAAAATTGAACAATCGTGTTTGCAAGCGTGGAGATGGTAAAAAAAAAACCGATTAGTCTGAGTAGACTTTTCTCAAGAAACATGCTGTTGAGTCGCGTTCGCGTTATGATCTTGAACGACTCAAACGAAATTAAAATTGTGCAGACTGATTGAGATAGGAATGTTTTCCGTAGTAGACTATCTTTCGTATCTTGAATATATTGTGTATCTATGCGTGCTGACGATTTTCGTATATCTGCCCTCCCAACAAACAACAAAAATATTAACTGAGATCGAGCGTAGTGGTCGTCACGACTTTTCACCAGCATGAAAAAATGGGCGAACAATTGGCTATTCATAGCATTTTGTAAATTAAAAATAATTTCTTCATACCAATAGAAAGTCTTAATTTAGAACGTTTCGGTTTTTTTTTGATGGCGAATGCTCAAACTCGATTTTTCTCTCGAAGCTATTTGAGTTTCAATACATGCAATTTCAACATTGTTCGATATCTTATCTAAGCTTTTATTATCGTATCTGTCACTACGCAGCCCGGATTGTTCTTTGTTCCAACATTTACGATGTTTTTGTTCATCAATCGTACAGGTGTAAATCGAAATACTGTTCTCATCTTTAAGTGATTACAGAAACATAAACATTACTTGGACGAATGTTCCAACGCGTTTTCTTTCCTGGAATGAAATCTTCAGAGAAAAGCGAAAGTGTAATGCCTCAAATGCGGAAAGATGTAGCGTAGAAAGTACCTAACGCGAAGGAAACAATTACGTTTCACCTTACCTATTCTATCCAGTTTATCGAGTCAACCTTGCTGGTAAAACATTTTTTTAAATGGTTTCATTTTTTCTAGAAAAAAAAAGACTATGTTTTCTTTTCTTAAAACAATTGCTTTTATTTTTCTACCAAAGGGGCAATTAAAGATCAATTTTTTTTTCACAGATGTTTTGTTTTACGTTCGATGATCCAGTAAACAAAACCAAACTCGATTGATGTTGGCAAGCTAAATATAATAGAACGACATCAATGATGGATTTGACCTACCTAGATTACAATTGTCTTGTGCCTCTTCGCACCGGGAAACTACCCTAATTATCGCCCGGCCAGCCAACTGAACGCAAACAGCCATGGCCACGTTCCTCTCCCCTTGCTCCGGAGAAATCTGTTGCACATCATCACCGTTGTACGCGGGTGGTCTCATCTCTTCTATGTTTGATTATGTACGCCAGGCGTGGAAAAATTGTATCGATCTATCTTTGAACAAATCTATCTATTCGCAATCGAACGATCACTGAATCTCCTCGAGAAATTGTCTCAAAAATCACCGTCGAACTTCTTGCACAGTGATCAGGTACACGCTTTTACGGTTTCTTCCTCGAAGTATCAGTAGCACCCTCGGTTCTCTCTACTTCTTCCTCCCGCATCAAGAAACTATCATGTTTCGGGACGCAACCTTTGATTGTACACAGAGAATGCTTGAAACGCACTTTCCCAATGAAATACTTGTTGCATGGAACTATCGCGTCTAAGGCGAATCTCTAGCTAATTTGTTGTCGCAAATGTTCTCGTTGTTTATTGTGAAAACAACGGGAAAGCGTTGACTTTAAGAACATCGACGAACTGATCGCGTCTAAGACGTGATCGTTCTGTCACCGATCTTTCACAAAGTCCGCGACTTCTCGCTTTTTATTCCCCGCACTTGAAGAACTCTTGGAAAGGAGGGAAAAAGGAGTATCGAAACGAGAACATCCCAGGTGACGCTGGCTGGCACTGAAATGGCAGAACTCCACGCGGTGCTATTTAAGCCCTCGTAGCGGGGTCTCCCACCAAAGATGCATCTCGGATCAGCTGACTACTTTGTTTCAACTCCCTCTCTTTGTTTGAAAACAACTGTAGGAGCCATTACGCATATGCGTTGCCAGGTGTACTCGGCCTGCAACCTGTCAAAATTGGAATTGACGTTTTCGCGAGCGTGTCACCTGAAATATTCAAGGTTACCACTGTTGGAACACGTCTCGTTTCAGGGTCTACATTGTCACTGTCTCCCCGACAAACACAGGATGAAGGAAAATCTTCTCGCAGATCGACTGTAGTCGATCTTTTTCCGCGTTACGCTTCTTAAGAGTCGAACTACGTTAAACGCGGCATTGAAGTTTCTTTGTACAGAAATAGGCACGTAAATACGTACTACTCGAAGGCCTTTACACGCGGCACAGACGAAGGGAGCCTGGACATAAGATTGACGGGATCGTCGCAAGGAGAAGCGTAATACTCGTACGCAAAAGTTCTCGCGGAATGGGATGACTCATCTAATTGTACGTTCTATTGAGATTGAGGTTCTTTTGATTATGCCACGCACTCGAGAGAGATCTAGATATCGCGTCGTGTGTAAGTTTGGAAATCTTACACATTTACATACGTAACTTCACGAACAACGCCGGCCAATTTCCTGCCAACATTTGATTACGAGCTTCCAAATTGCGTTTCACTTTCGGCTTACAATTTCAATTGATTGCACGTTCTTTCATCTATAATTCATTACACGTTATGAAAAACCGTTTCCGATCGTAAGATCTACGACGAATCAATTTTTCATTTCACATTTATCCATACGTCCGGGGCTCTTATGTAAAAGTGAACGAAACTTTTCGCACGTGTACGTAAGCGTAAAAGGGAAGCATTCTTTGTTGAAAAAAAATTATACAACGGATTAAAAAAATTATACAATCGCGTGTACAATTCCGCGATTGTCGTTGCTCAGATACTATTTTATTATTTCATTTTCTTATATGTATAATGTATTACTCGTCGATATACATATATACGTATATATATCGAATCGCGACGTTATATAAATGTGTAATTAGCGGCGCAACTCGCGCGGTAAGGACGAGGAAGCGAACAATATGCAAAATAAAAAGTGTATTCGTCACTTACGCGCTTCCGGTTCATTTTTCGTAACAATTTTGTTCTGTTCATCCTGTTCACTTTTCTGTCTCCCGGTTTATGCAAGGCATTCGTCAAAAACATCGTCTAATATCAAGGTTGAAAATACGATGAACCATTCGTTCGGCACGGTGCCTACTGCGCCATCACGAATGCTCGTTATTGCTCGTTTATCGCACTTCTCCAGCGGCAAAATCTATTTCACTTTTCTTCGTATTTTTCTGCAAACGACGCAATATAAAAATGACGCATACGCGTTTCACTCGAATGGGAATCAACGAAAATAAATCGTGTTGAAAATCTTCCTGCTTATTTCTTTGGAACCAGTTGCAAGAAGTAAATCAATCGACAATGTTGCTAAATATATACTCATTATTTTGGACAGGAATCAATACTCTACAGAAAAACGAATATCGAATATTTTAAAATGAATGGAACATTAAAAGACACTTAAAAGGAGATTTGCACATGGACACGTGCATTGTTGTTTCGTCGTGATAATAAAACAGCCAAAAGAAGCATCTGGAGGAAGTGACAAATATTGCCAGGGCATCTTTCCAGACAAAGGAAAACACCGAGTGCGCGTGCTTAGTTTTGGCCGACGTCGCGAGATCGAGAAGCGCATTCGTTTCACCACATTGAACAACGTACATATTTCTACGCCTTTCTCTCAAAAGAATCTCTTGTTCGTTTGATCACGCTGGTAAGGGAAAATCTTTCGTGACTCATCCTTTAGTGGTTGAATCGAATATTTTCACGAAACTGTAGAAAGAAAAAGAGAAAAAAGAGAGTCGTACCTTTGATTGTCCCTGGTTTAAGAACGAAAAATGACATAAAATCAAAATTAATTGAAAAGGTCAATCGTGCCTTTACATTTCGATGGAGAACTCCGTTCTCCATTCATCGCAGAGCCCAGTGCCCAACAGGGATAAAATGTTTATACGATTCTTCGGTATGTTTGGCACGTGGCCAGAGGATACTGCGCGTGCATTTCATGTGGACGAGAATAGATTCGCGGGCCAAAATCCCCCATGACTTCTGAGTCGTCGTGTTCGTATTGATTCTCGCGCAAACGTACGCGAGATAAAAGCTACGGTGCGTCGCGAGATCGATGCACGCGATCCGTGCACGTGTGTGCCCTCTTTTTCTCGCTCTGATATTGTCCTCCTCCTTTTTTTTTTTTTCTAAATATAGATGCATTCACATATATCGACGAGGAAGATATTCGTAGATCTATTCCAAAAATACGGATCCTTGATTAAGTTTCTAATTCGTAACAACGTGAGACGTTTGCACGACAGACACACACATTTTCTTTGTCAATTCGATGGCTTTATGTTTCCGAAAACGACGCACGATTTTACATCCGGCCAGGATTGCCGAGCTCTGATTTTACGCCAAGTGTGACGTGCCAACACGTGGCAGAAAGAAACATCGTGTTCCACGAATAATCCGCGCAACAAATTTTTCTAAAAGTCGGAGAATCGCACGCTTGGATACAAATGACAAGAATCGTAAAAAGAGTAACGCTGGCTATTATTCGGAAATATTATATTCGTTGATTTCTCGCGATGAAGCGGGTAAAACAAAAATAATACCCGAATCATTGGAACTTTTACATTACAAGCTACTTTTTCCTTGTTTTTAACAAGGAGAAAGGTTTTTAACTTGACGTTTCACAATTATAATCTGCGAAGAACCTTTACAAAAGTCTTTCGTCTGACCGCGAACATTGGCCCTATAAAATCTCTGGCTCTGACGTCGATTCTTTGTGCGCTCGCGGGTTACTGCGTCTCCGTTTTTCGAGTATTTTCATATTTACCAAGAATTGGGATCTTCCACGTAGCCTGAAGGGAAAACGTCACTGGTAGATATAAACGGACGTCTACTCGGTTTCACATTTATTCGTATATATTTCTCGTTGGACGAATAAAACATCTTTAATACTTAAAACATTGTTTGGAACAACAGCGTGTTTCAAGAAAATAATGGCTCGAGAGATGATTCTCGTTAGTCTTGTTAGATTAACCCTAAATAATATAAGTACAAATTGTCATTGAACGATCGTTCAACAATCTATATTGATTTTTTTATATTCATTTTACATATTAACAATGAATCGTAATATCTCATTGAAGCCACAAAATATACGTATGTATGTATGTATATATCAATGTCTCGATGTTCGTTATCTGGATGGATGGAATTTTACCGTATCATGTATTTCATTCATACTCGGATGTAGGTGTGTATATATATATATATTAGCGTTGATATTTAATTAAATCAGTCGCAATTCATGCATTTCGTTGCACAAGTAAAACACGATCTGGTAAGAAAAGAAATCGATCCAATTGTTTGATTTTGGTAAACGAAGTCCTATCGTTATATTGATATCAAAGAGAATAACATATCTATTCCGCAAAGCTATCGTAAACTATAATTATAAATTATAATTATAAATATCTAATTGCCCGTTACCTTAGATTTAAACTTAAATCTTTCCGTTTTTATTATCCTAATTTCTTTATAACACCACTATTTATCTAAACCGCTGAAAATACCTTAGGCGTAAACATAACTGATACATATTGTACTATGTTCTCTACGAGTATATATAGAATCTGTAAATACAAGTCTTAATATTTGGTGTTCTCTGGTAAACTATACGAAGATATCACGGTAAAATTTACGAGTATAATATCTCGGGGCCTATTAAACTTGAATATCGAATTTTAAAGAGAAATTTCAAAACACGCATATAATACGTACAATTGTAAATATGTCTAATACAGATCCCTGAAGAAAACTATAATCGATCAACGACCGCTAATTTAGGTTGAAGTAAAATAGAACGTACGAAGATTCGGAATGTATATTGGTAATTTTGTTGGAATTTTTTCATTGAAGTTAAGTCTGTTTGGACTCCTTGTTATTTTGAGATCGATCTAATACTTCTTGCGCATGTTGCAATCCAGCGCAATAATGCAATAGTAAGACACTCAGTGCTTGCACGCGTAAATCGCTCTGTGCAATCAATTTAATACTGTCCATTTCTCCACTTTGTGATAATTCTAATCTTGAGGTAGTTTCCGCGTCGAGCGCAGTTTTTAGCTTCCCCATCTACATTGAAAATTTATATTAAACATAAAATTAATTTACATGAGTCTTAATAAAAATCGTTATCTTTACCATAGCATTGATTTTTTCAACGCGTTGCAGTGGTTCCAGGTGTTTGTATAGAAACTTGCCGGTATCTTTAGCCCTAGACATAAGACCATCATCCAAATCGCCAGCTACTAAAGGGGCTGCCACGCTAGGTTCAGCACCCTCCAAGAGATCAGGACTTATGCCCAAGCCTCCAACCAATGAATTCTAAATGTTTCAACAATTCGATCAGATTCGTCGGAGCGTAATATAATAAACTTAAATCTTGAGAATCCTAGAGAATGGATGCACCTACCTCAATTGCATATGATAGTAAAGGTGTAAAGAAAGCATCATTTATCGCACTATGAGAGATTGTAATAGTTATAGAGTGTTAATACAACAATATTTCATGTAACAAGCGTGGCGACTTCAGTGTGCATCTGCGTGTCCCTCAAATAACAATTAGTGTCACGAGCAAGAGAAAATAGTGTGACCATTTGCGACAGGAATAAAAAGCTTGTACGAAGTTCCAAATACATTGCATGAAAGATGAACGTGAAGCGGCTCAAATATAATTTAAGCTTCAAAAATGATAATAAATATCTTAGGCATAAGCGTGTTTTCTGCCCCTTGCAATTGCTGGTATAAAAAATAAAACAACGAACAGAGATAGAGCAGAGAAGGCCTAAAATTATGATTTAATTACAATCGTCATTAAAATTTAACGCAACGGTTATTATTAATGATGTGATTTATAATTAATCTGATCCTTCTCTGTTCCAACTGAACAAATTTGTGTTATTAAATTCTACCTTGCGGGATGCACAGGGACTTGGGGGAAGACTTCTAGATGCCAGACCAGTACCGGAAGCCGGTGGGGCCAAACAACTGGTACTCCCAGCCTTCTTCAGGCCCAACAGAGTATTAGCTATACTAGCCTTCATGGCCATCATAGTTGCACCCTGATTAATCGATCAATCAATTTCAAATTTATTAATAATTTTACTTATCCAATCATGAATACCGATAAAGTACTTAAAAAAAAAGAGGAAAAAAAAGAAAGAGAAGAAGAAAACAAAAAAGAAAACGATATAAATAACCGAGCCCTCGATCTCGCTCTTGATTATTTTTCGTGTAAAAAGCTTAAGTTAGTCAGTAATAAAGTAAGTTTTTTGATGACTTACAAAATTCACAAGTACTCAACATTAAAAGCAAGGTCAAGGTGCAAACCTACAAAAAACCTTCACCTCCCTATTATGCAGATGATCAATTTTATTGCCAACAATAAAGTGAATCACACTTAACAGTTGTTTTTCTATGTACAAAATACCAAGAATACTATTTCCAGTATACATTAATTGCCCAAAAACTGCAATTCCTTGATTACAGTATTGCATACTGTACAATAAAATATAACTAGTAAAGCGTAGATATGCATAGTGAATATTTATAATATTTCTTTCTTAAAATTCCGCTGTAACGACAATTGCATAATAATTTTCTTTCAAAATTAATATACAATTTTTTTTCAATAAAAATATAAATTATGTATGTATATATATATATATATATGTATATGTATGTATTACATATTCAATAAATTTTAATTCAGAGATTTAACTTTAAATTCTAGGTTGTCTTAATTATAATCATTGTTTTTAAAAGTGATATATTGGATCACAATCAAAAAACGAATAAAAATTTATGTTTAAGGAATTGTCAACTACAGCATTCATTGCTATTTTAAAATATTATGTAAATTTAAAAATCAGTAAGTTGACAATATCATTTCCGCGTAATAAAAGTTTTTATTACGTCTTGAGTACCTGTACATTATCTTCACAACTGGTTAGAGAAATCTCTGGACCTGATTCCCCAATAAGAGTAGTAGGCTCTATTTCATCAGCTTCTAATGCCATTGTTGTTATACTTTCGGCTCCACATGTTCCTGATGCTTGGCAACGAACTTCGCATTTCTTATGACACACCATACCACAATCTCTGCACTGCACTGCATCCTTTAGCCAAATCTATATAATGAAGATATATGTAATTCTATTATTCAAATATATTTACATACATATAAAGAGAAAAATAACAGTAAAAACTTAGACCTTCTTTGTACAAAAATCGCAATGTGTCGCTCTATGGAAATGAGTTCTAATAAAGTCGTGCATCTTTTTTTCAACAATTTCTTCACTTAAAGGCGGTTGTGCCTTAATAGTTTCAGCATTTTCCTTTTTCCCTGAGTCACCAGCCATGTAACGATTCGGATAACTAGATTCCCATACATAAGATAATAAAATATCACCATAACAAAGTGTTGGATCAAATCCTGAATACCCTTGTAGTTTTGGATGAACCGTTGCTAAAGAAGCTTTTGAAACAGCATGCAAAATTAGTATAAAATATATGAAAATAAATACATTAGTGACAATTGTATTTAGTAAGAACAATACATACCACTATCTGGTGGTAATAAAGCATAGCATTTAAGATAATGACCAGTTGAAGACGTATAGCATTGTGCTAAAATTAATTTCATAGGGACGTTAATATATCCTAATAATTTTGCGTGAATTTCTCCTCTGATACGACCCCATACTCCGATATTTAAATATTGAAGTTCTGAATCAATTTGAAAAGTTCTAGTTTCTTCAAAAGTAATTAAAGATGCATGTTCTTTCTCTTTAGTAGTATAATATAAATCTGATATATTTGTTACATATGTGTCATCGTTAAAGCAAAATTGAGAACTACTGAATATTATTGATTGATTCGAAGTAGTTGAAATTTTTCTGGAAGGTGTAGTGTCTGGTGTTTGAACAGTATCATCAGTATGTGCGCTGCTTTTTCTTCTCTTAAAAAGTTTACTGCTCATTTCCAATTTATCGGAAATTTCATTTTCACAATCCTTCAAATCCGAAAATTTAATTTGGCTTTCAAATTTGATTTTAGTATCTTCGGTACTAGGTGTATCATTCTTATTCAATGCAGAATCAATTCTTAATGTTTTCCTATCGGCTCCTCTTTCTGTTGATATTCTTTCACTATCCAATTTCATACTAGTTTGTTTGTCCAAATCTGCTTTAGAATACTTTCTTTCAACCCTTATAATAAAACGTCTCTGCACAGCACTTTTTACAAATTTAGCTACTTGATTCATATTAGACACTTTTTTGCCATCTACTGCTATTAAAATATCTCCTTTTTTCATTTCAGCAATTGCAGCAGGACTTCCAGTTATTATAGTTTCGACTAGCACACACATATGACCTATTTCTGGCACAAATTCTTGCTTAAATACTACACCCAGTTGCTGAGAACCAACTTTACTAATAATTAAATCCAACACCATGTAAGGAACTCCAGTATATTGAGTCAGATATACCCAAGGTGTTGAGTCGATACTTATTGTACAATATACTTCAACTTGTGATTTATCCTCTGTATTAAATATATTAGGTCCAAGATTTAATCTAGTTACTTCCACTAGTGATACTTCCAAATAACCTGGTGTCAATTGCATGTTCGCAACCTGAATAAAATTTTTAAAAATTTATTAAATATATGCATTATTTTTTAACCTTTATAATATTTAAAATAAAAATAGATCTTACTTCGGATAAATCTACTGTTTCATCGTTCAGTCTACGGAAAAATGGTTTATAACGCATTTTATAGCGAGGTAATGTATGCTTCCTACGTACAGCTCTTCGAATTTGTCCTGTTATCAAAGAGATGATCTGTGGTTGTAATTGACGACCTTGAAATTGGGATTGCACTTCCAATTCAAGTATGGGATCTGAATAAAAACTTAAAGACCAATGAGTATATGGTACACGTGTAAACTGCAACCTAGCTCTGCCACTGATACGTTTCACTAAAAAAGATATCACTAATTACATTCAACTAGACTTTATTTAAGTATTATATTTAGGATAATTTCTTAAATTACCTTGTAAAGCCATATATGCAGTCTTTCCCAGTAGCATTTTAACATCTATTGATAATTGAAAATTTCCAGAATAATGTAAATCTAAAGATAAATCCAACGTCTCCAATAAACCTGTATCAGCATCTATTTTTGAATCTGCAACTTCTAAACCTTTTATCGTAGGAAATTGTGAACCTAGATTTAGATCTCTCAGCTGAAAATACATATGTATTATTATTAATATAACTTTAACAAAAAGATTAAATAATATTTTTACTTAAACTATATACTTTACTTGTACACTATCTAATAATTTGCCCGTGGTTGATTGAGTTAATAATTCTTTGAACTCATTATTTAATTTTCTATATAACCAAAGGCGCACTCTCTCAGCATTTCTAAGTTCATTGAACAAAAATTGCAATGTTAAATTTATTGCCAAGTTTTCATTGCCTTGGCACATACTCTGACGCGATATACTTATGGAATTTGTTTTTTCATCTTGAATCTTATCAAGTAATTCCTTAGGTAATTGGGCCTTGCCATGATGAATTGATTTTCTTGGTGAACTTGCCAGAGGCGCTTGTTCCAAGTACTTTTTGAACAAGTAAAATTCCAGTACAAGTATGAATATTATACCACACACAAATGCAATCACAGATATCCAAATAAATTCAAAAATGTTCATATTAATATATCATTTGTTGGAAACTCGGTGGTTTACTTAAGTAATATAAATATTTTTATTACTAGAATTAAAAAATGTTCACACAAATTGTAGAAACAGCCACTTTCTTGTGAGGCAGGTATGAAACAACAATCATGTAAAAATATTGTATTTCGAACTTTTTTCAATAATGTTTATGTGAAATATTAGGAACTCCTATAATATCTACAATTTTTAGTTGATCATAAAAAAATTATTGTTTTTATAATGCTGTATTACATTGTGGTGAATTACCCTCGTTTCACGGGTCAACAGTTATTCAGAACACTTTCACCTGCCATTATGAATTGAAGTTACGACATTTTCGTAAAGACATGAGTAACTTTCGTGATATTCATGTTCACAAAAAAATACTCGTGCAATACATTTTAGAAAAACTAACAACGCCGATGAGCATGGGCAGAAGGTATCATGACAGTTTTCTATTGATTTCGGCAGCCATGTTAATGTTAAAGAAACTTGTCAATTTGATAAACTTGTTTTGACTGTTTACTCAAGGCATGACAAATAGAAATATTTACGTTTATATTTTTTCATAATCTTACATTATTATATAGCAAACAGATTACCTATGAATATTGTTACTGTAATGTTTTTAAGGCTTATTTGCTATGTGCAATTATAAAAATTATAAAGGTTCTCGTAGATGTTCTTATATCCTTCGAGGAAAGAAAAGATATGATAATTATGATATTCCTGAACAAAGTGAAAGATAAGAAAGCAATATAATGAGACATTTTATAAATCAATATCACAAATAAGTTCTATACGCTAAGGGATTATTTAATTTCTTTTTGAAATAGAAGATTTGTTAATTGATAAATTAATTCTTTTATTTTGCATATCGTTTAGATATATATGTATATATCAATAAAATCATTTAATTTTACAGTTTGATGTATGTATGCATATGTCGAATAATAATCAGCTGATGATTAACCTCATAAGTTTGTCTATAGAATAAAAGTTCAAATTATATATACATGATATTGTATGTGTAATTTATGATATTAATTACAAGTAACAGTTATTGTAAACTTTAAAAACAAAGAGGTTATTGACTTTTATATTTTATTTAATGTAAAATATTGAAAAACATACGAGAAACATAGATATACGAAATTTGAATCTTTAATTTTTGCAAACAAATGCAGATTATTTTGTTAAAATGGCAGCTTTAATGAAGAAAAGAGTATTAGCAGAGTTTAACCAGAGTCAGGTAAATTAAATGTTCATTTTCAGGCAAAATTTTAGATTAAATATTTCATTTAATTAAATGTCGTTTATAGGTTGTGAATGATCCACCGTTAAAGAGATTAAGAACATTACGTCTTATATCTAATTCGGGCAGTAAAAATGGAATAGAAGGAAGTTCAGCATTAGCTTATATTGAGTGCCTTGAGAAATGTAAATGTGGCAATGATGCATTACAGCTTCTTGTTCGTATATCTGACACAATTGCATACATTTCTCCAGAGGATGTTCCTTCTGTTGTAAAAAAATTATCAGAGAGATTTACCATAGAAACAGAAGCGGCGGTTCGTGCCAAAATACTTTGGATATTTGCTGAATTAGGGGAAGTAACAAATGATTCGATAGAAAAGACAAAAATTGTTAACGAAACAGCTGAACTTTTGAAAAACGAAGAATCACACAGGGTAAAAAGCCAAGGGCTAGCAACACTGTTAAAATTAGGAGATTATCATAGGTATTACATATATTTGAAATTTATTTCTTTTAATAATAAATTATTCGAATAAAAAAGAGAAATCATATGCTCTTTCTCAGGACTCTTGTATTAAAAATTGCTCGTGAACATTTACCTGATACTTGGCATGGTGTACAAACACGCTGCCTTTCTATTATTGGTAGATACTTAACTGCAAACATTACGGATGATACTTTGCCACTCGTTAGTAATTATGCATATTCTCAAGATCCAAGGGTACGTGCGCAAGCATTTGAAACAATGGCTGAACTTCACTCTTATAGAGGCTGTAGATTACCTGCAAGCTTTTTTGGAGAAGCTTGTACTGCTCTCAGAGATGATTATGAAATAGTTCGTAGAACTGTCCTCAAATTAATATGGCTTTTAGGCAGAGAATATCCTGAAAAGTAAGCAATACTTGAAATCTATTTCAATTTATCAATATTTATTGCCAATTATATTAATTATTATTTTGCAGTATCATTGTGGGGACAGATGGAGAAGACATACGTATGGTGGATTGTGCATTTTCTCAAATTTGTAGCCTTATGGGCGACTTATCTCCAAGAGTTAGAGCTTTAGCAATGTCTCTTCTAGGAACAATGAAATGTGTATCACAAAGGTACATAGAACAAGCATTGGATAAAAAGCAAAAAGTTGTAGAAGCAGATAGACCAGAAGTAGAAGAGAAAAGCGGATCATGCGGTGCGTTTATTCACGGTTTAGAAGATGAATTTCTGGAGGTAACATCATTTTATTTGTTTATTTTATAATTTATATTATTAGTAGTTAAAATAAATAAATATATTCAGGTAAGAACAGCAGCAGTTGAAGCCCTTTGTACCTTATCCTTGGAACAACCAAACATAGCTAGAATTTCATTAGACTTTATGGTTGATATGTTTAATGATGAAATTCAAGATGTTCGATTAAGAGCTATTGAATCATTAAGGAAAATGTCTGCGAGTGTAACGCTTCGTGAAGATCAATTAGAAACAATTTTAGGGGCACTGGAAGACTTTTCAGGTGAAGTACGAGAAGGTCTACATGCTACATTGGCAGCTAGTCAACTTGCTACAAGAAATTGCCTTCATATGTGTGTAAATCGTTTGCTCGATAATTTAAGTCGTTATCCGCAAGATAAGGAAAGTATTAGAAATTGTTTAGCAGCATTAGGGGCCTCGCATCCATATTTGACATTACCTTTAGTGCCACAACTTCTTGGACGGCATCCGTTTTTTGATACACCAGAACCGGATGTTGATGAACCTTCTTGTATCCTTCTAACTAGAATTCTAGTTCTCTTTATATAAATTATATTAGCAATCTTATTTTTATTATTCTTAACCATAAATAATAGATGCAAGTGTGCTGGTTTTAGTATTCAATGCTGCACTGCATTGCCCAAGCATGCATGCTCTTTTTACAGAGCATGCATCTAAACATTATCATTATTTACGCGATACGATGCCACATTTAGTTCCTCGATTACGACCAACCGTAACAAGTGGATCAGATTTTGGGAAAGAAGATAAAATTGACGAGGAAGCTGAACGTGGAAAAGAATTTTTGGAAAAAGTAGTTACCGGTGTAGAAAATGCAAGACCAGGTGGTAGAGTTCACACACAACTTTTAGAAGCTGCAGCTATCGATCTCGATCGTTTAGCGGAGATGGATCATCGTATGGAAGGAGCTGCACGTTTCACTGCTCTATATATAAGATGTTTACTACTTTTAAAATCTATATTAAAAGAATTTTCAATATTGTCAACAAATTCAGTATCTACAAGTCCATTGCCGAACACAACTACTAATGTTTCAGTTCTTCTTCAAAATACTCAAAAGTATGTAGTAGTTGTAACATTTCTTATATTTGTATATAAAAATATTTATATATACATAATTTATATAAATATTACAGATTGCAAAGATTATTTAGTGGATTAAATGAAAACGAAATCATACTAGCCAATGATGTGTGGTTGAAAGCATTGGCAGTAGAACTAATTCGAGTAACAAGAAGCGTGACAGGAAGAAGTGCTCTTCCGCTCGCACGCCACTTTTTGTCTGAAGCTGATATTCTACCTCAAGATACGACAAAATTACCATCTTTTTCCAGAGCTCTTGTACTTCAAATCCCAACTTTAGCTGATGTAAAGCCAGGGTCTTTAACACGAATGCTTTTACCATTATTATTAACACCAGCATCGCAAGGGGAAGAGCGTCTCCCAAGACCATCAGTATCTACTCGATTCTGTAGAGCAATTATCGAAGAACCCAGAGGTGATGCAGATGCGGCATTGAAATTTACAGGAGGACTTCTATTAGGAATTCCATTGACAGCAAAAATACTGAATTTACGAGATCCTAGTATTTTACGCATTAAATTGAGGCATCCTGATCAACAAGTACAACTATTGTTACCACGTCAGTCGGATTTACGATTGCAGAACACAGAACAAAATGACTACAGATTGAGAACTATAGTTTTACTATCACATCAAGTTTGGATGGAAGCCTGCAACGTAGAAATATCTCTTGCACTTCTTGTACCATCTTCAGCTGTATGTACGCATTCCCCTCTTGACGATCCATGTGTAATAGATCTTTGCAAACCGACTAAAGTATCAATTGCCCCAAAACCTATAAAACGAGGTATCTAAATATATTTTTATACAGCATTATTTTATAAAACTTTTTATTGTAAATAAATTCAGTATATATATATATATATATATATATATATATATATATATATATATAATTCGATATATATATATTCAATTTTGTATAACACAGATATCAGCAATTATCAGTTTTAATACTAATGCTCGATTTATTTTATAAAAAGTAATTATAAATACATGATTTAAACAGACTGAGAGAGCACAGAAAATCTATTTCTTTAATAAAACATATCGTAACAAGTGATTTATTTAATTTACATATTTGTTGACTACCGCCAAGTGGAGAATGAGCTTCCACTGTAACAAAAAATATATATACATTAAACATTTTTTACTTCGTGGATCTAAAAAATTATAAAAAGAATTTAATTGTCAATTTACCTAGTAAATACTGGAGATTTTGGTACGTCAGCGCTTTTCTGTGCTAAACTACTGAAACTAAGTCCGCCTGATTGATTTGCCAAAGATTCAAATGTGCTACTACCACTTACATTTCCGAAAACTTTTGGCATGTTATTATCAATTGGAGCGGGACTTCCCCCCATAGTAGGTGGACTTCCAAATGCTGCTTTACATATTTTTAGTAATTAAATTTTGTTATTTTTAAATTAAAAATGATATAAAATATAGCAAGTATATATTACTATTAAATTAAACAAAGTAAAAAGTATAGAAATGTATGTATTATTTACCTGGAGGAGTGGCACTAACTCCAAATGGCGTTGTTCCAAAACCACCACCAAAGATTAGTTTTGGTGGTCCAAACGTTGCTGGTGATCCAAACACTGGTTTAGTGTTAAATGCAGGTGTCTGTCCAAAGATAGGTTGTGCACTTAATACAGGTTGTTCTACACCCATTGGTGACGTATTAACTGCAGCACCACCAAATACAGATGGAGATCCAGCTGAAGATAATCCTGAAGTAACATTGTTTGTTGCACCACCAAAGAAAGATGCAGAATCAGTGTTTGACGCCGAACCAAATATAGAGTCAGATTTTGGAGCATTATTATCAAAGATGGATCCAAATGTATTTATCGAGGAGGTATTTCCTCCAAATATGGAACCTGATGAGGATACTTGTGTGTTTTCGCCAAAGATCGAATTAGTATTACTTCCACTGAAGATAGAACCACTAGGAGAAGCTGTAGTTATTTTGCTAAACATAAATGTGTTTGAATTTGAAGAATTTCCAAAAGGTTTAAAAAGCGGTATACTAGCATCTGGTTTTCCAAACGTATTAGCTGTTGAAGAAACTGCTGGCGTAGTTGAAAACTGAGAGTTCATTGTAAGAGAAGATTTATCAAAAACTGGGGCAGCTGTAGTTGTTGCGATATTTCCGAATGTAAGTGTAGATGAGGTAGGAGTAGTAATAATATTAGTAATAGCGGTAGTAGTAGTAATAGTAGGGGTAGTAGTAGTTACAATAGAGGTAATAGTAGTACTAGTTGTTGTTGTAGTACTAATAGCAGTAACAACAGTCGTAGTGGTGATAGCAGTAGTAGTAGTAGTAGTAGTATTGCTAGCAGCAGCAGCGGCACTGATAGAACTTGTTGGTGGTAACATAATGATACTTTTATCGAAAGGTTTTGATAAAGCACTTTGGAAAGGTGTGATAGTAGAAGAAGTTATATTTGTTGTTGTATTTGATGTGAAGAAACTACCAAACAATGGCATGGCTGAAGTAATTGTAGTTTGTATAACAGGCGTAGCGGTCGTAACAGTACATGTAGTTGTTGTTGGAGTAGAATTCGATATTTCTTCACATACAGAAGTATTCAATGTATTTTTTAGAATACTGAACAAAGGAGTGGCAGAAGGTTCACGTAAATCTTGCACAGTACTTGTTGGAAGACTAGAAGTTGATTCAGAAAGAGGTGCTTCTTCGATCGTAACAGATCTATAACATAATTTGTTTGCGGCAGAAATTTGGTTTCCATCAGATGAAGAAACACCAGGTATTCCAAACGTAAGTTTGGAGTTATATTTTTCATCTGCAGTAGTACAAACTACAATACTAATATTGGCGGGTATACTAGATGCTTGACTACTTGTCTGAAGTCCTGTAAATGATCCTGTTAAACTTAATACATCTTGTGTTTGAGATTTTGTTGTTGGTGATGTCATTTTTAAATTGAATGGAGTAGTAATGTTTGACGGTTTTGAAGCAAAAGAAAATGCCTGTGCATTTGTTGTTTGTGATGTAACAAATGTGCTTTGTGTAGTAACAATTGGAGTAGCGAAACTAAATGTAGATATTGTTTTAGTTTTTGCTGCTGTTATTGGTAATGCCATTCCAGTATTCGGCGTAGTTGTTTGTATTTTCTCTATCGAAGTCTCTGATGGTAATATATCTTTTAATGAATCACTGAACAAAGTATTTTCTGGTTTAATAGTATGCAGCCACATTGATTGGATAGTTGAATTCTGTGCTGCTGTTCCTTCTGACTTCTGTGCTGATGTATCAAATGTAATAGTATCAACTTTAGGAAAAGATTTCATTAAGTTAGATGAAGTATGCATCTGATTTAATGTAATAGTATCTTGTTTTGGCTTACTATTTTGAAGTCCTGTAGTAATTGTTGACATACTAGATATTTTTTCTATTTGAATAGGTTTACTACCAGATACAGGTGGAAAAGTAATTCCAAAACTAGGCTGTTTGCTTTGTATTTTGTTTTGTGTCGATACATCATTAGATTCATTTGTGCATTCATTTGTGCCAATACCTGCTACAATGCTAGCCATAGAATCTAAAGGATCAATATATAAATTCTGTTGTTTGGCAATTGTACTTTGTTTGGAAACAGGTTGATCCACTTTGTTTTTAATATTAATGTTAGCAGTATTGGGAGAAGTCAAAGAAGACAAAGTTGCTTCTAAACGATGTTGAATAGGTGAAGGGTTGACAGGTTTTATGATCTTTGGAGTACAAGTAGATAAATGTTCTCTCAATTTAATTTGTTTTTCTTGAGTAAAACTTAAAGTTTTAGAAGCAATCGCTTTGCATCGTGCTTCTATGATTCCTGTATTTCTTGGAAGAGTGACTGAAGATTTTGACGATGTAATAGTTAAATTGGATAATGAACGATTTAATCCAAAAATACTATTACTACGAATAATCAATTTCCATCTTTTTTTAAGGTATTCTAATTTACTTTTTTCTTCTTGTACAATTTTATTATGTAATATGAGATTTTGAAACACAAACTCTAAATAAGGTATTTTCATTCGTGACATTTCTTGGGATTTATGATTTGACCATTCTAGGTCCAAAATTTTACTAGCTTGAGTCAGTTGTGTTTGAGTATAATAATAAAGTTTCTGTAGATCAGATATTTTAGTACTATCTCCACAATTTCTAGTCGTAATATCATTAGTTGCTGCATTTTTTGACTTCGTTTCTTCAACCCAAGCAAATGATTGTAGCAATAGTGCTTTTAAATATGCTATGTCACTAGATAAACTATTTGTTGTTTCTTTCAATTCCCGTAAGAACTGATCTATTATAATAGATGTATCTACAAGTTTCCGACGTTCTTCTTCTGTATCATATTCCAATATTTGTGGTTCTGATCTGTCACGTAATTCTTTCTCAAATAAATTATGTTCTTCTATATATGCACGATTATCTTTAGTATCATCATCTGTGGATGGTTTTGGTTCTACAGGCTCGTGTGTAATTATTTCTTTGACTGCTGTTAATTTAATATCCGGTTTTACAATTTCTTGAGATTTAATTTCTCTGGTTGGTTCCAATTTCATTCCCATACTAGGTTGTTCAGATTTATGCTCTTGTTTTGGTTTTTCAGTTGGAGATAAAATAAAACTAGACTTTTGAATAAATTTATTCAAAATATTTCCTGAAACAGGTGGTTTTGAACGCTCAAGAGCATTTTCTGGTTGCTTAGCAAGTGGCGTACTAGTTATTGGTATACTATTCATAATAAGAGATGTGTCAGATCCTATGATTGATTGTATTTGTAAAGGATTTGCAATAATTTCTGTAGGTGGACAATTAATAGGAGGACAATTGGGAGTCAGATTTACCATATGAAAGCTACATAATTGTCCAGATGTTGCAAGAATATGAAGTATAGGAACTGGATGGGGCAACGTAGAATCTGCTCCCCATGGTAAATTTTTAACTGAAGATCTGTCGATAGCTAAACCTACTGGATAGCTTTCTGTAGTGTGAATCAATGGTAATTCAGCTCTGCCACTATCTACCAATTGCCACTGATTCCAAGTGACACCTTTATCTGTGGATCCCAATACAGCTATTTCACTGCTGTTGCTACTAGCAGCAATAATTAAGCCCCATTCTGGTACATAATCAAAATAATAACGAGGAATTGTTCCTTCTGGTTCTGAATCTGTTATTCCATAAGTAATATCTTCATAGCAAGTGAAAATAGTATTTGTTTCGCCTTTAGGAGCATCAATTATAAGAACATTAATTCCTTGTTCATTGGCGAAATAAGCAGCACAAAATTGATAATTGCTGATCCATAAAATACTAACAACTTCACCAATGTATGGATTAGGACCAAGAATTGTCCTTGCTATTTTTAAATCAGGTTTAAATTGTACTATATTACCATTTTTACAACCTACAACAATTTGCTTTCCCTTAGGACTCCATGCTGCACATAAAGCATTTATGCCATCAAATTTCTCTAAAGCTTTCAGTTCGATTACTTCTTTTTTCTTTTCTTTTATTTTAAAACTACCAACTGTATAATCGCTAGCTATTGTACACAACATTCCTGGTACAGCAGGATTCCATCGTAGATCATTTGCGAATATATCTCCATTTAATGTAGAAATTCTGATTTTATGTAGTAATTGTAAACTCTAAAAAACATAGGAACAATACGCTTTAAATTATTCATTATTTAAAAAAAAAAAGAAATCCTAAATAAAAGGTTTTACATATACATTACATTTTTAATAAGTGCCTGTGCATCATAAATTAAAACCATAGGTTCATGGGATGCTATTGCTAAGTAAGAACAATCACAGTTAAGTGTTAATTTAGACACAATTACAGGTACATTAAATTCTATTTTCCATTTTGGATCAGTGTCATCTCCTGGTTTCAATATAATTATTTTATTATTTTGCCCTGCATATAGCAGTCCCGTCTTTTTATCTGCAGCCAATAAACTGCATGCAGTTGGTATAGATATGAATGCATCTAAAATTTGTGAAGTACATGACTGTTTGAATTGAAAATCCTGGAAAATAGTTGCATTAAAATAAGTATCATACAAGTATAATAAAAAGAAAAAAATACTACAACTATTTTCTTATATTTGAATGTAACAGAATAGTACACATATATATAGATATTTGATTCGAAAATAAATTTTGGTAAGGTTATAAGCTATCAAAAATTATATAAATATTAACAATTATGTTTTTACCAAATAACGTATAATACCTGAATATCCTTTGGATCAGATGCAGTTTTCATATTTAATTATTTTACAACAGTCTTAAATAAAATTTTTAACATTAAAATAAATGTCAGACTATCGTCAGGTTTAATTTCGAAGTAAACTGCAGTAACAACAGTTGTACAACCTTCGATTACGTAGATTAAGATTGAACTGCGCATTTGATATTTTTTGCAGTAAAAACGCTTTCAACCCTAGCGTCTCAAGCTTAAAAATATTCAAATTGAATTTATGTTGAAAACATAACTGAACAATGTAACAAAATTTAACATTAGAAAATACTATAATTAATATGTGTTTTTAATTAACAATTTTTAATGTTTCTTCTGAAATTTTCTTTTCTATAAAATAATGTATTACTGCCATCTACTGGCATTTAGAGATTAAATAATTTTTCACTAAATATAGTTAATTATAAATGATGACGCTTCACTGTAATTTCATGGCAAAACTATTTTTTAATATTTATAATTGATATACAAAATAGTTGACTTTGACTCTATTTTAAAATGATAATGTCTATGTTTCTGATAATAAGATTGATTGCAAGAAAAATTTTTAATTCAATAAAATTTTGAAAAAATTTTAAGAATTAGAGTTTAGCAGAGTAATTATATATTCTCGTCTTTTATTTGCAAGATATATTGTTCTATCACATCTGTAATTTCATAAGAAAATTTAATTTTGATTCAAATCGTTATTTATTTACTATTTATTATACCGAATCGTTAATATCACATGTGAAAATAGTAAGAGAGTAAAACACAAGATACGGAAAAGCAATGTATGTCAGATTTATTCTCTCTTTAGTCAATGGTATAATTTTAAATACTGGCTACTATGAGAAATAATAAAGATTACAAAAATTTAAATTTCTTTTTTATTTTTTAATATTTCCTATTTTTATTGCAATAATTGCAATTAATCTAAATTTCTAAAATTTAAAATCAATTTTTGAGAACAGCAAATTTTGCTTAGAAAACAATGTTTGTTTTAGAAACTTTGTTTCCGATATAACACGGAAAGAAGATGAATGAAGGGAGCTGTGGTTCATTGTTTTAGTTAAATTCAATACATTTTTATATATAAGCACGCTATTGGCCGCAAATATCACATATACAAATAAATTCATGTCGCTGCCTATCTGTAGTTCCGGTATTATTTTTCTTTTCAATTCTGGAAAGTAACTATGATATTTTTGTTGGATCACATGTGATTTGGTTAGAATTTCGACAAAGTGAATTTTGATTTACATACATAAAATATTATCGTTATTATTTAGTAATCGAGAACAAAATGAAAACTACAGGTATTTAAATCGAATTTCACATATTTAATTTTATTTCGCTTATTTATGTTTAAAAGCTAGTTGTTTGATAATAATATTTACAGATTACAGACCTCGTAAGCGAGTGCGAATTAGTAAAAAAAAGTTAGCAAAATATAATAAGGGTGAGGGAATTGATTTAAAGGAAAACTCAACTAGGATAAAAAATGAGGTGATAAGACAGAAATTAAAAAAGAAAGAAGTTGTCTTTAATAAGACAGTGAAAGATACTGCCCGCACTGAGTTACTTTTGACAGGAGATTACGGTTGTTTGGAGGCTGATTGTGGAGAAGTAACAATACAATATAAACAAAAACAAATTGTAGACAATGTAGACATAACTGCTGCAGCTAAACGCTTTACATTAAATCTGGAATTTGGACCATATTACATAAATTATACAAGAAATGGTAGGCACTTAGTATTAGGTGGAAGAAAAGGACATGTGGCAGCTTTAGACTGGGTCACAAAAAAATTAGCCTGTGAAATAAATGTAATGGAATCGATCCATGATGTGTCATGGCTTCATATAGAAACAATGTTTGCTGTAGCGCAAAAAGACTGGGTCTTTATATATGACAATCAAGGAATTGAACTCCACTGTTTAAAACCAATGTATAAAGTTACTAAGTTAGAATTTTTACCTTATCATTTCTTGCTTGCCAGTGGATCTAAAGAAGGTTATTTGGCATGGTTGGATGTTTCCATAGGCAAATTTGTAAATTCCTTCTACTCTAAATTAGGAAAAATTGCAGTAAGTTTAAGTATATCTAATATTTCTGTGTAGAGATATTGCGTGATATTATTATTATTATTATTGTAAATGGTTGTTATATAGGTAATGACACAAAATCCTAGTAATGCTGTGCTGTGTGTAGGCGATACAAAAGGAGTGGTTTCCATGTGGTCTCCAAACAGTAAGGATCCTTTGGCAAAAATGTTGTGCCATACTCAAACAGTAGCTGCCTGTGCAGTTCATCCTTATGGAACTTATATGGCAACTAGTTGTCTAGATAGATCCGTGAAAATATGGGACATCAGACAATTAGCAGGTCCCATGCATAGTTATTATGTACGCGCTCCTGTTCAACATCTGTCTTACAGTCAAACTGGCCAATTAGCAATGGCAATGGGAAATGTTGTGGAAGTTTATCGGTATAAATATTATACTACAATTTATATCTATATAATAATAAGAAAGATTTATGTATGTTTATAATTTTATTATCAGGTCATCAACCGATGAAATGAAACCTTACATGCGTCATAGAGCTGATTGGACTGTAACAAGCATGCAGTTTTGTCCATATGAAGATATTTTAGGTATTGGTTCTACAAGAGAAGTATCTTCTCTTTTAATACCTGGAAGCGGAGAACCTAACTTTGATGGTCTTGAAAGTAATCCATTCCAAACAAAGTCTCAGAGACGTGAAGCTGAAGTAAAAGCTTTATTAGATAAGATTCAATCGGAACTAATATGTTTGGATCCAGTTGCTATAGCAGAAGTAGATACACCTACTTTTAAAAATAAAATAGAAGCTACAAAGGATATTTTGGTAAGTAATTAATAGAGTTAAGTCATTTTAATTTCATAGTAATTGTTTAAATTGTTATTTATGTATTTTTATAGTATGTCAAACCAAAGAACATTGACTTCAAACCTCGCAGAACGAAAGCTAAAGGAAAAGGAGGAACAGCTAAAGTCATTAAGACTAAGAAGATTTTGAAGGAACTAAGTCGAAAGGTGAGTGATTTTTTTTAATACACGTATATCGCAATACTAGAAGTTATTTTTTTTTTTTTTTTAGGAAACTATTGATATGCTTCGTCAAACAGATACAAGTCGGTCAGATACAAGAAAAACAGAACCTCAAAAGAATTACGGGATATTAAATAGATTTTTACCAAAATCTAATAAAAAAGCAACTAGATAAAATACGATGTTCGATTTTATATCTTTTCTTATTTAAACTTTACTATATATTTAACTGTAACATTCATTGTATACGTAACTGATGGTATTGTAAATATAGATTGTTATACATAAAGAGTATAATTTATTTTTCATGATTCTTCGTTAATAGCATATATGTTAATACAAAGTAGTGTAAATAATAAATAATTACATATATATGGTATTGAAGGTGTTTAATAAAATAAGTAAGCATCCAACAATTTAATTGCAACATATTCTATAATTTAATAACTCATAATAAAAAAGGAATAATTTATGTAACTACAATTAATTCTGGAAAAGAGTGCGAGTGAATTCGATATAATCCAATGCTCCTGTGATTGGTCGTTCTGTTTTCGGATCGACGTAAGGTTTCATACGAGCAACACAATAATCAGCCATCTCTTTGGTAAGATTCTAAAGATATTATTATTATTATTTTATTATATGTAGTAATTGTATAATTAATTGTGTTTGAAAATTCTATACTTACAGCATATAATTCTTCTTTCGTAACGTATGGCCGATCTGCAGCTGTAATAGCACGGAAAGCATTTTCTATTTCTTCAGAGCTCTGGACATTTTCGGTTTCTTTGCTAATCATAAATGCCATGTATTCTTGCAACGATACGTAACCATCCCTATTCGGATCAACGATATCTAAAAAAAAAAAAAAAATCAAAAATATATTGCACTGTTTCAATATATAAACGGAAATGTGTATTATATAAATGATATCTAATGTATTTAGTGATATAACAAACATACCTAAAATATTCTCGAATTCCGGATCAGGTTGGCCCTCTTCTACCATTGGTAAATCGTAACCAAGAGCTCTCAAACAAGACTTGAATTCCTGGTGATTCAGACGACCGCTCTTGTCTTTGTCAAAGTGTTTGAACATCATTGAGAACTCCTTCAACGCATCCTCAGAAACGCCGGACTGGTTACGCGCTTGTATTTGCTGTTCTAAATTGTGTTGCATGCGCATTCCCAATTGATCTAATTGATCCCACTGTTGCGCCAACCCTACGGTACTGTGTTCCGTGTAACGATTGTCCAAGATCAAATGTTCTTCCAAAATTGCTCCAAGATCTTCGATCTTTTTCAGATCTTGACGACGAGCACGGACCTCTTGAGTTTTTCTCTTTGTCGCTTCTAACTGTTGTTCCAGCGATCCCGATCCTTCCATCATGGATGTTCTTGTCTCCGCTAGCCATTGATGGAACGCGTTAGCGTGTTTAGCAAACTCCTTACGCAACTTATCGTTTTCTTCTTGTCGTTGAGCTTCTTTCGCAAGCTCCACATCGCGTTCTTTAATTATTTTCTGTAAATTACGCCAGGTGTCTTCCAATGCTTCCATCGTGAACCACGTGTATGGATTGGGACCAACGTTGAAACTTTTGATCTGCCTGTCAAGAGCTGCCAAAGCTTCAAAGTCTGCCTCTGCCGAAGATAAACTCGCTTGGAATTGCGCGTGTGCTTCCCTGAGAGCCCGAATTTCTTCGATACTGTTGCATCGCACAGGATCGGTCAAATCCTCCTCTGCGTTCTCAAACCACGAGTTGAAAGCGGATGCTTTCTTGGCAAATGTCAGATACAGTTCTTCAATTTGCCTGAATTGATCTTGCATTCTCAGTAAACGTTGCTTTCTCGCGTCAGAATCAGCCAGCAGTTTCTGCCAACGAGCAATAACATCCGCATGACGTTTCTGAATGCTAGGTGTTTGATCATGACCAGAATCAACTAGCATTTCCTTTAAAGAAGTAATATTCTGAATTCCTTCGTGCTCAAAGGCATGCAACCCAGCGTCAAAGGTTTCCTGTTTAGTCAACAGCGTCTGAACGGTAGACAAGTCTCGTCCAAACTCTTCCGAACGTACGTGAGTTTCCTTGTCAGCGATCCAGGATTCGACTACGTCTGCTTTCCACATAAATTGCAAATAAGCCGAATTATCGTTAAGTCGTGTTTTTCGTCTGGCAGCAAGCGCTCCAAGTTGTTCCAATTTGTTACGAAGCTGGGTACATCTTTGTCCTATAGCGTCTGCACGGTGATTTCCAGCCTTGATCAAAGCTTCTCCGGCTTCGCATATGTCTTTGCAACGTTCGCCATGAGCCGCAAAGTCAGTTTCAAAGGCGTCGTGTTTCTTCAATAAGCCCTGAACCGCAGCCATTGTGTCACCGTAATCTTCGACTGATAACAATTGCTGTTTCTCTGTGATCCAAGCCTCTTCTTCTTCAACTTTAGCCAAAAATTGTTGATAGGTCAGAGACTCGTCCAGTTTCTGCCCTCTATTGGCCGCTAATTGTTTCAATTCAGCCCATGCTTGGTTGAGAAGCTTCAAACGTTGCTCAATTTCGGGCACTCCTAAATTAGAAACGTCCATCAACTTCTCTCCAGCTTCTTGAACAGCTTGTATAGCAGGCTCGTGGCTACCTAATTCTGCCTCCAGTCTCTTGTGTTTCTTCTTCAAATTTTGTACACCAGTAAGATCACGACCGTAGTCATCCGATCCAACCAACAATTTCTTCTCTTTGATCCAAGACTCTTCGTCAGCAATGTCTCTGAAGAACTGATGTAAAGTGTTTGCTTCGTTTAGTCTAGCTTGCCTATGGGCAGCAAGGTTGCGGATCCTCTCGTAACGCTCGTTTATACTTTGTCGTTTCTCTTGGATACCAGCTGCGTCAAACTGTCCGCTTTCAATCAGAGAATCTGCCTGTGCGTTCATATCTTTAATCCTTTCTTCATGCGCCTGAATGTCGGCCTCGACTAACTGGTGTTTCTTCATCAGATTTTGCACGGAAGCTAAATCTTTGCCAGCATCTTCAGACGTAAGTAAGCTCTCTACTTCGCCAAGCCAAAAATCTAAGTCTTTAACAGCGGCGATATACGTACGTTGTTTGTTAGCTTCTTTCAGCTTCATTGACTTCTCTGTAGTCTTCTGGGTAAGGTAATCCCATTGATCGGCAATCGAGGCAAGCCTCTTCTGAACAGCATCCTCAGAACCGGCACATTGGTGTTTCTCGATCAAATTACCTCCCATGGCTAACACAGATTGAATTCTGTCCGCGTTCGCTGCCAATTCAGCCTCAAACGCTTGGTGTTTTTGATGTTTTGATTGAATATTGGCTGGATCCTTGTAATTCTCCTCGGTAGCCAACTGCAGTTTCTCGGCAATCCAATTTTCCATTTCATCAGCGTCGCGGGAGAATTGTTGTAGAGTCTGAGACTCTCCTAACTTAGAACGTTTCTCTATAAGAGCATCTTTCAAATGCTTCCAGCGATCTAGAACCTGACAACGCCTCTCATCAATTGGTTTTGCAGCATAATGTTCAGCAGCGATCAATTGATCAGCCAAAGTCTGCAAAGTAGCAATCTTCTCTTCGTGAGCATTGATAGCTTTGTCAAAGTCCTCGTGTTTCTTTATAAGGGCCTCTACGTTATCACTACTGTCAACAGTGTCAGCGCTGCTCAGGAAAGCTTCTCGGGCACTCATCCAATTTTCAGCTTGCTCGCAATCTCTGCAGAACAACTGTAGCTCCAGGTTTTGATCCAACTGCATACGTCGTTGTATCCAAGCTTTTTCCAATTCTTGGCGTGCTTCAGCCATAGATTCAAGTTTCTCTTGAATCTCGACACTGGCATAGTGACTGGACTGTAAAAGCTGCTGGCCAAAAAGCTCAAACGCCTGGAAAGTACCTGCTCTAGCGTCGATTTCCATGCGATGTTCCTACAATACAAACGAAATTACAGTCACATGGATTCACATAAATTGGTTTAAGAATGTCGTTATAAATTCACACGCATATTCTGCACGTATTTCAATCCATTCGACAATGAGAGAATTATGATAAGCAGGAAAGGAAGCGATCGCGTTAGATCACTGTAAGAAGCGCTGATAGTACTCCATAGATGTTAATAAGGCGGTGTCTTCATTACTAAACTCTGTTCTTTTTCTTTCTTCATCAAAAAGAGATTTAGCAACAACAGAAAAAATATACCAAAGATGACTAATTATAAAGAACGTGTTCAGAGGCAAAGATGCCTAGTTTTGTTCCATGCTCTTTTAAATTCTTCAATACCTGTGGAAGTATGCCGTATCGTGCGTCTATCTCTGCCCTGTGATTCTATAATTCATGAATGACTCGTGAACGACCGTGTGATCACTGGATCATTTCAGCATCGACAGTTTTTTAATTGATCAACTCACCTGATGTCGTTCCAAAAGAGCTTCTGCGCCAGTCACATCTGAGGCTAATTCCTCGGAAGCGACTAGACCCATCATTGAATTTATCCAAGCCATTAGATCTCTGTAGTCACTAAGGAAACGTTGCAGGTCGTAGGAATCCAACAGCTTCTCTTTCCTGCTATTAGCTTTTGCTGTCAACTGAGTCCACTCCTCGTTAATTTCTTTCTGCTTGGCGTAAGTCTGTTCAGCAGTTTCAGGATGCGACTGCATCAGGCGATTTGCTGTTTCATCTAACTGTTTGATCTTATCTCCCAAGGCAGCCAAGTCTCGCTCTAAGCCTTCGTGTTTGCGTTGCAAGGCCTGAACGCTACGCAAATCCTTTCCAAGATCGTCGTTATTCAACGCAGCATCCTTCTCTCGAATCCAGTCCTTGGTCTCGTCGACGTCACGATGGAATCGTTGAACCTCGTGGGCGGAACCGAGTTGATTGGCACGTTCTGCAGTGAGAGTCTGCAAGCTGGTCCATTTCTCATTCAGATCCTGTATCTGCGTCTGAATCTTTAAAGCTGCTTCCGTCTGCCCTAGACTCATCAGCTGGACAGCAATCTCGTTCATTTCAGCTAGACGAACTTCGTTGGCTTTTAAGTCTGCCTGGAAGTCGTCAAATTTCTTCTGCATCACCTCCACTTGTTCTAAATCCTCGCCAACGTCCTGAACCTGAGCGTGGTTCTCCTTGTCCTTGATCCAAGTGGCCAATTCCGCGGCCTCTCGGACAAGCACGTAAGCCTTGGCCGTTTCATTAAGCTTGTTCTGCCTCTCGCGCGCCAGTCTCAAGAGATCGTCGTATTGAGCTTCTATCTGAGCTTGCCTGGCAGCTATAGAACTCTGTTCTCTAGCGAGATTCTGCTGAGATGCGCTTAATCCTGCTTCGGGTTCAACCCTCTTTACGTAAGCGGCTGGAACAAAACCTTGACGATCATTCACTTCGACTTTCCACCAGTCCTTGTTGTTAGAGTTTAACAGAGTCAAAGTATCGCCCTTTTTCATGGAAACTTCCCTTGGTGATTTCTCTGTGTAATCGTAGAGAGCCACCACGCACTCTTTCCCAGTGATGTCAACAGTTGGAGTTTCTTGCTGACGGCAAGAAGCAGCTTGTTCTCTAAGAGCTGCTATGGTGCTTGCAAACGCCTCTAGGTCGCTAACCAACGCCTCGTGTTTCTTCAAGAGGGCCTCGGAACTGTCCTCGTCCTTTCCGTAGTCGGCGTTCATGACTATGGGTCGTTTCTCCTTCATCCAGGACTCGGCTTCGTTGGCATCGGCAAAGTACTGATGCGCCTGGAGAGAGTCATCCAGATCATTCTTACGTTGTCTGGCCTTCTCTTTCAACTGTCCCCAATGCTCGTCCAACGCGGCCAAACGTTGGCTGATTTCCTCCGCAGCGAAGTGGCTTTCTTGCAACATTGACGCACCTGCTTGACAGACAGCAGCCACACGTGGCTCGTGGTTATTTATTTCAGCTAAAACAGCTTGATGCTTTTTCTGCAGGTTCTGCACGCCGATAAGATCACGACCACGGTTGGTGGATGCTGCAACTGGTTCTTTCTCGCGGATCCAAGCTTCTTCGTCCTCTATGTCTCTGAACAGCTGTTGTACCTGCAGCGAGTCGAGAAGTCGCTGCTTGCGAATGCTCATAGGCTGTTGAAGAGCACCGTATCGAGACTGCAATTGTTCCTGCTTAGCTTTGATATTGTCTGCATCGAAATGCCCCGATTTCACAAACTGATCCGCAGCTTGGGCGATACTCTCGATTCTGTCAGAGTGGGACGCGACATCGGCTTCCAGAAGGGCGTGTTTCTTTTGAAGATTTTGTACGCTGGTTAGATCTTTGCCGTAATCTTCGGACATCAATTGTCCCTCTACTTCCGACAGCCACAACTCGATATCCTCGACGGTACGATTGAATTGCTGCTGCTGAGAGGCTTCCTGCAGTTTGGCACCTTTTTTCTCGCTAGCGTGAGTGAGACTTTCCCACAGAGACATGATTTCGTCGGTACGAGTGCGAATTCTATCACTGGCGTAGTGATCACTCTCGATTAATTCTTGACCGGTAGCTACCATCTCTTCCATGCGGGTTCTGTTGGCGTTCAGCTCCTGTTCGAAATTCTGATGTTTCTGTACCTTTCCGTTTAAATTAGTAGGATCCAGATAGCTGTCGTCGGTGGCAAATTTGAGTTTCTCGTTGACCCAGCCTTTCGTTTCGTCGCAGTCGCGTTCAAATTGCTGTAATTTGTAAGCGTCTTCTAAACGGCGTCTTCTTTGAGCCGACTTCTCAAGAAGAACGGCACGTCTCTCCAGCAGAAGCTGACGTCTCTGCGCCACGTCGTCCGCCGCGTAATGTTCCCCTTCTATCAATTTGCCGGCAAAGTCGTCTAATATTTTGATCTTCTCCTCCTGAGCTGCCAATGATTTGTCGAAATCTTCGTGTTTTTTAATAAGAGCTTCCACACTGTCCAACGAGTCACCTAGGTCTTCGTTTGCTAAAAATGCTTCCTGTTTAGCCATCCACGCGTCCGCTTGTTCCGTGTCTCGATAAAATAGCTGCAAGTCCATGCATTGTTCGTACAAGATCTTTCGCTTTTCCCAAAGACTCAAAAGAGACTGTTTATCCTCGGCGAGAGAATTCAATTTTCTGGTTACTTCCTCTGCAGCATAATGTTTCTTTTCCAATAGTTTATTGCCAGCCAGGGTGGTCGCGTCGAAACTGTCTGCCCTAGCGTCGATTTCTCCCTTGTGCTCCTGATGTCTCTCAACAAGAGCTTCTGCACCAGCCACGTCTTTGGCTAATTCATCAGCCGATATAATCGCGCGCATGTCGTTCATCCAAGAGACCAGATCTCTGTAATCAGCCAAGAATCTGTGCAAGTAGTACGATTCGTCAAGCTTCAAACGACGTTCCTTCGCTTTTGCCGTTAGGCTCTCCCACGACTGCAATATCTCGGCGCGTTTCGCTTGAATTTGTTTGGAATGGTCTGCTTGATGAATTGCTGCGAGACGATCCGCCTCGGCTCCTAGTGTATAAACTTTATCCTCCAAGGCTGCCAAATCACGCTCTATACCCTCGTGCTTTCTCTGCAAAGTTTGTACGCTGGCAAGGTCACGTCCGAAATCGTCCGAAGACAGAACAACGTCCTTTTCAGCAATCCAGGCCATTGTCTCATCGGCGTCCCGATTGAATCTTTGAATTTCATGTGCGCCGAAAAGTTTCTCCTGCCTCAGAACGGCAAGCTGCTTCAATCTTTGCCAGGACTCGTTGAGTTCCTCCTTTCTACGCAGGATGGTATCACGTTCAGGATGTCCATCCAGAAGAAGTTTGTCTGCCAGTTCGTTTACTTCTGTTACCCTGTACTCCTGGCTGGCCATATCCTTCTGGAATTCGTCAAATTTCCTTTGGAGTACCTCAACGTGTTCCAAGTCATGTCCAAATTCGTCCGTCGTTACAAACGCTTCCTTGTCGTGAATCCAGAACATTACTTCATCGCAATGTCGAATAAACTGTACGAGTACCAAGGCTTGTTGCAATTTAAGACCCTTGTCCGCCAATCTAGAGAGTAACAACTCCCACAGCTGATGAAGATCCACTACAAAATGTACTTAATTATTAATTTCAAGTTGCGAGTTGATTAAATAAATTCGATATTTGACGACCCACCTAGTCTCTTGCGAATGACGTCGCTTGCAAAATGATGCTGTGCTATCATCTCTGACCCGGTGTTGTCTAATGATACTATTGCGTTCGAGTGGGCTGCAACTTCTGCTTCGAAGGCTTGATGTTTCTGTATCTTTGCCTGGAGGTTGGTAGGATCTTTGTAGCTCTCATCCGAAGCAGCTTGCAACTTCTCGAAAATCCATCCTTCCAGTTCGTCCGCGTCTCGCTTAAAATACTACGAAGGAACGAGCGTCGTTAACAATGTGATAAGAGTCGAGAAACAAAAAAAAAAAACATGAAGAACATACTTGAAAGCGACGGGAGTCCTCGAGCTTATCCCTTTTGTTCCTAGCTTCCGCCTTGAAATTCGCATATCGACTGAGAACTTGTTCTCTCCTTTCTTGAATGTCCTCGGGATTTTCCAGGATTTTCACTTCCTTCGGTGTGATTTGATCCATCTCGAACAATGCTTACTGTCCGACAACAGGATAACTCTCTACTATCCAAAATGGCCACGGGGTGTGGTGAGGTTGATTGGTGTAACGAAATCAATAATTAAAGCCTTAGTAAAGCGCCTGGTTTTCGACGTCTATTTACAATTACAAATCTGACTGATTGTTGAGAAACAATCTAGAAACAATGTAAAAACAATACGTACTTCGTACAATTCTCTCGAATGCAATCCGACACTGACAGCGACGTTCCTTGAGGTTCAACACCAACTGAGATTACCTGTGTGTGTAATAAATCAGCGAAACAGTTTCCTCTGAAATAACATCGCTGATTGGCCGACCGATGATGAGCCTGGCCAATGGAAGCTCTTCTTTAGATGCGTGTGCTTATCAATTATTTTTATATATAGCTATTACGTCATTGTAGCCTAATCAATCTAACGAGCAATTTCCAAACATTACTTTGATAATTTTGAAATTTTATCTTATCTTGTTTCTATTTTGATAGAAGAAAAAAGAATTTTGACTTACTTTTTCTTGTTATTTAGTCTATGGCTGTATACGAAAATTAAATTTAATTTTACATCTAGCGACGCGTAGTGATAAATTTTTCTCGTCGTTCGGGAAAAAGGGTTTAAAAAATAATCAAATTATGATACAGTAATCTTTTATTAAATTTCACCTACAAACAACGAATCACAGAACGTTACATTAGAGTTTCTTACGTCAATCCATCGTGTCTTCGTATTATTTTACAAATAATTATAGATTTATCCCTATTACAGTAAAGTCTTATTTGTTAAAATATCTTGTAGCGTAGTCAATCGTTATGTATATGTAAATTTAATTTACCTAAAAATAGGATTTTTTTTTTGTTGCAGTGTCCATTCATTGTTTATAAGTGGATGTTATGTATAGAAGTGGTACTATTTATAGGTACTTGCTTTTTTATCCATTGTACTCTGATGTATTTAATTTCTTTCTCTTTCTCTCTTTCTCTCTCTCACTCTCTCTCACTCTCTCATTCACTCATTCTCTCTCTCATTATATCCGGCTTATCTTTTTTTTTATTGTATTTTTTAAGTATATTTTTCATCTGATACGTGTATGCAAAGTGCGATATGAAAAAAGTCTTCGTGTACCAAAAACGTTTCTCAATTTTTTTTTTCTTTTTCCCATTATTACTATTATCATTATCATTATCATTATTATATTTCTCTTGACAAAAATTACAAAATTCTATGCTGACAAAGGGAGTATGATATACAGCGTTAAAAGTTTTCTTTCTTTAAGTACCCGGACAAAGTCAATGGTATTACAAATACAAATTGCTAGAACTTTTTTTTAATATGTTTTTTTTTGTTAGAAGGCAACACGTTTTTGTTAATTACAAGAAGGCAATTCGCTTTGTATCATCTGGTATGTCTGGCGTCCCAAGACATTTCTTCTTGATTTTAATAAACCGCGTGTATTAATCCTTTTTATAATCAGTTTTATAATCATTCTTTCTTTCATCATTTTCTTCTTTTACGTGACAAAAAAAAATGCAAGGGACTGTTTACAGGCATTATTGGCAGCACTTCATCGTTTTTTTCTTCTTCTATTATTTACTGTTCTTCTTCGAAATGTTTAGAGGTGATGTTTATTTATTGTTCTTCTTTGAAATGTTTAGAGGTGAAAGAACAACTTCCCGAGGAGCTACACTTCGATGGTGTATCCCGCTCTTATCTTTTCTGTTCTCTCCGACTCTCTTATTTCTCTTTTTCTATCTGTTTCTTTTCATTTGTCCATGTTTACGAAGATTTAACCAGCGTAATGTTCTTTCTAAGTATGCTCTCAACGAATCTTTATGTACAAAACTTATTTCTATAGGATACGCTTGCACTCGCATGTCACGTCCGTATTCAGGGGCGGGCTGCTGCTCAATAAATTAATTTTCTTTCTAACTTATCATATTCCAAACACTCTGCCCCGTACATCAGGAAGGCTATTACATTCTAAACGTTTAGAAAAGTACGATGTCTCTGATTCTGGCTGAGCATGAGAAACACGCGGATGTGCGTTTTTTTTTTTCTTTGCGGGTCATGCAATCAAATCGCTGACCGCGCAAAATTGATTCCTTAGCGTTTGATCCCAGTATCGAAATCTTGTAAAAAAAACATACAACACAAAGGAAAAACAATAATGCTTCTATATGTTTGTTTCTTTTTCCTTCTTTTCTTTTCTTCATATATTTATAAATATATAAAGACACGAATAGAGGCATCGTACAGATAGACGGTTACTTAAACTTCCCTCTACGCAGACGTGACAGAAAAATCTCATAGACACATTAACTCGCTCCATTTACTACATAACATACAATATATATTCATATAATATATATATAATATTCAATAATATATATACTAAAGGTATATTTTTATATATACAGAGATATATGTCTGTTTCAATAATTTTTTTTAAAGAATTAGTAACTAGCTTGCTAAATAACATTCTTGGACCTCGTGTGTATAGCCAGCACCTTACATTGTTGAACCCTCAGCTCAAATAGAAGAGTCGCCCTTTTTTTTCGCTTATATTTAAAAAAATATAGTGTGTGAACAGAGTGTGCGTGTATGTTTTGTGTGTATGCGTGTGTTTGTGTGGACGTGTAATGTAGAGATGTGTGTCTGTATATACGTGTACCTCTCCCTGAGCTCGCTCCGTAAAACATTTTAAACATCTTAATCATTTCCGCACTATCATATTTTCCTCCTTTCTGAATCTCTTCACAGCCCTCATTTCGTTTCGTTTTTTTTTTTTCTTTTTCATTAAACTTCCCACGTTCGCGTGCATACACTTCATAAATTTTACTTCCCCTTTGCTTTCTTATGGTTCCTCTTCGTCGACACGTTATATAACAATTTCTTTTTCTTCTTTTTGTTTTCGTTCTAGGTAACATATATAATCGTCTAATATACAATAAATAATTTATCGCGTTCTTGAATGTACAATCGTTTGCCTACATCCCGGCTATACGTTAAGTAATAGATTCATGTTATTTTTTTTCTTTTCTTTGTTTACTCTCAGTTAAAATACATTTAATAACACTTGTGCCGTAGCATCTTTAAGAATTAAATTTTGTACAAATTTGAACGAGCTCAACGTGTATATATATATATATATATATAAACGTTGTAAAGCTTAGTACGATTACTACGATCGTTTGTCGTCAAGGAGTAACAAGAAAAAAAAAATTAAAAAAACAAAAAAGAAAGACCAAAAAAGGACGAAATTACGATATAATTGTATACGTATATCGTGGCAGCTATCGCGTCAATAGAAACAAACATTCATCCTCTCGCGCGCAGCATTGGTGCGCATGCGCACACGTGCTATTCGCGTTTTACTATACATACGCCTACAGTATATATGAATTTATAATACAAGGAACAAACGAAGTCAGAGAGAGGGCATGCTTTACACTTTAAGTCGTCTGAGGGGTGTACCAAACGGGCACACTGTGGCAGGAAGAGCTGCTCGACGAGAACGACGGCGATGACAATGAAAAATATCTGTTCTCGCGAAAGATCGCCGCACGAATACACAAATCACTCTTCTCCAGTACAGCTCGCCTCTCGTGCTGTTGTTCCCTCAAAGAACGAGTCTTGTCTCACGCGCCGGTACAGTCAATTTCTATAATATCCTTCGGTACGTCGACAAACTGATAGACCAGCCTTTGCCCGTCGACTTTCGCCAGTATACCACGCTGATAGTAATAACGTAGAGCTCTGCCCATCGTTTCGTAATTCATGTCCGGTTTATTCTTGTGCAAACCCCATAAACGTGAGACCGCCTTGCTGTCCACCAGTTTGAAGACACCTCGTTCACGATTCGTCCATTTGATGTATCGAGGGCAGTACTCCCGATCCTGCAGCAACTTTAACAAGAACTCCCATAGGTACGTTGTTGAACCCTCGCGAGATTTCCTCTTCACCGCGGCACCATCCCCTTGGCGTGGCTTTTTCAGCTTGTTCTTTTTCGACCGTGGGGGAAAGCCTAATTCCAGCAGGTACAGGTCATCGGAGACTGAACTGGTTGCTGCTTGAATCACGCTCGTTGGAACTCCACCGGGTCCCCGTGGTGGGCTAGGAGTACAAGGGGTAGCAAATTGGGCCCCGCTGGCGTACATCGAATTCACATAACTGCTGTAACTCTCGGACACTGTAAACAAAAGAAAGGAAAATTCTTTTAACGCAAACAATAATTTCAATACAACTGATTAAACTAAATGGAGAATATTTAGACGTGCGAAAATGTGATCGTCGATTTAGGTTTATGTAATCTCCGTCAGATGACGCCACTATACCATACTATATAGCGATTGTGATAATTTATATTTGTATCACAATGCTATAAATAAATAAATAACTCCGTAATTGATTTTTGTTGTTTATATAAAAATACCAATATCACAAAATATACAATTACTAATAATTTAATGAAGTTTACATAATAGAATTTAAATGACGAAATGACGAAATAACGAAATAACGAATGAA